GTTGGGCTTATCCCAGGAATTTACGGGTGACTTTCTGTTAGAAAATCTATAGATCTAATTCATTCCTTATGCATTTTAAGGAGAAAAACCATATATCATTTCAGTAGATGCAGAAGGATTGGATAATATTCAACAGTTATTCATGTCTACAAACTCATAGAAAACCAGGAATAGAGGAGTCTTTTTTAGCCTGATCAAAGATGTATGCCAAAAACAGTCAACACCATTCATAATGATAAGTTAGAAACTTTCCTTAAAATTAGGAACATAGCAAGGATACTCCCTATCACTACTTATTTTTAACATTGTACTAGAAATCCTAGCCAGTGCAAAAAGATAAAATTAAATAAATATTTACTTCCTAGTACTCAGTAGGGATTTCTTTTTTTAAGTATGAGAATAAGAAAGAAAAATCTATTATTTGCAGGTGATGTAATTTATCTACAAAGAAAATCAGGTTTTTTGGAATCAATAAGAATTTATCAAGGTGTCTGAATATAAGAGTAACCTCCTACCTCCTCCCCTCAGCTCCCCCCAAAATTACCTGGAATAAACCTAAAAGTTGTAGATCTTTATGGAGAAAATACTAAATCTTTATTGAAAAGCATTAAAGAAAATGAAAAAAAATGAGAGAGACACATGACCATATTTCATGGATATGGCAGTTCAGTATTGGCTAACTTTAATAATTTAATATTATTTTTAATAATTTGATTCCAATTAAAATCCCAACGGGATTTTTTAATCAAAACAATGTGATATTGGAGCAGGAAAGAAATTACCAATGGAAGAGAGTCTACATAAAACTAGACTTGGTCATAGAGGGAGATTTGCTTGATGACTAGAGTGGCGTAGTGAGAAAGGAAAGATGAGTCAGTAAACCATGGTAGGACAGTTGATTGTTCACATGGAAAAAAATGAATCCCTGTCTCATATATGCATGCAATTAAATTTCAGGTAGGTGAAACATCTGCATGGGAAAGGCAAGCTTTAAAACTTCTAGAAGACATGAGAGGGTATCTTTCTGACCTTGGGAGCATGAAAGGATTTATTAAACAAGACGCACACAGGAAAAGCTAAGTACAAAAGAAAAAATTAACTACATTATAATTAAGAACTTCTTGTTAAAGAACTTAATAAAGTGAAATTGAAAAAAATGAAAAACTACAAACTGTTAGGAGATATTTGTAACACAAATCACCAACAAATGATTAATAACTAGAATATCTAAAGAACTACCAAACAGTAAGGAAAGGACAAATAATTCAATAGGAAAATATTCAAAATACATAAACAGGCATTTTTCACAGAAGAGGAAACGTGGCTAATAAGCATGAAATCTAACCTTATTAGTAATCTGGGATGTGCAAATCATTATCTCAATGAAATACCTTTTACCCAGTAGATTGGCAAAAGTGACAATTCTGGTGATAGGATATATATCAATGGGAACCCCTTATGTATTGCTAAGCTAGAGTAAATTGGCATCACATAGTAAAGCAACGTGGTACTACCTGGTCAAGTTCAACATTTACCTGCCTACAGCCCAGCAGTTCATTCCTTAGAGCAGCAGTTCTCAAAATATGATCTGTAGACTATTTCAGAGGGTCTGGGAAGTGAAGATTAAGATGTTATTTGCCGAATCAAAATAGATTAAAGACTTGATTGTAAAATCTGAAACCATAAAGCTCCTAGAAGAAAACATAGGAAAAAAGACCTTGGTCGTGGCACTGATTTTTTGGATGTGACAACAAAAGCAAAAATAAGTGGAATTACATCAAATTAGAAAACTTGAACTAAAAGCTTCTGCACGGCAAAAGAAATGGTCAACAAAATGAAAAGACAACCTATGGAATGAGAGAAAATATTTGCAAACCATATATCTAATAAGGGGTTAGTATCCAAAATATATAAGGAACTCATACAATTCAATAGCAAAAAATAATAATACTAATCCAATTAAAAATGGGCAAAGGAACTAAATAGACATTTTTCCAAAGCAGACCTACAAATGGCCAACAGGTACACCAGAAGGTGTTCAGCATCACTAATCATGAGGGAAATGCAAATCAAAACCACAATGAGATATCACCTCACACCTGTTAGAATGGCTGTTATCAAAAAGACAAGAGATAACAGGTGCTGGCAAGGATTTGGAGAAAAGGGAAGTCTTGTACACTGTCGGTAAGAATGTAAATTGGTGCAGCTACTACAGAAAACAGCATAGAGGTACCTCAAAAAATTAAAAATAGAACTACTATACGATCCAGCAATCCCACTTGTGTGAAATAAAATCACTATGTCGAAAAGATATCTGTACCCGCATGTTCATTGCAGCATTATTTACAATAGCCAAGACTTGGAAACAAGCTAAGTGTCCATCAGTGGATGAATAGATAAAGAAATTGTGGTGTATATATAAACAATGGACTGTTATTAGGCCATAGGAAAAAAAAAGAAAATCCTGCCATTGGCGATAACATGGATGAACCTTGAGGGCATTATGCTAAGTGAAATAAGTCAGACAGAGATAGATAAATACAAATACACTTATATGTGGAATCTAAAAAAACTGAACTCATAGCAACAGAGTGTAGATTGGTGGTTGCCAGGGGCGGGCAGGGTAGGGGAAATGGATGAAGGTGGTCAAAGGGTACAAACTTCCAGTTTAAGGTGAGTAAGTTCTGGGGGATCTGATGTACAGCATTGTGACTATAGTTAACAGTACTGTATTACATACTTTAAAATTGTTAAGACAGTAGGTCTTAAACGTTTTCACCCCCCCAAAAAAAAAGGGGTAACTGTGAGATGATGGATGTGTTACCTAACCTTATTTGTGGTAATCATCTTGCAATATTTATGTATATTAAAGTCACCATTTTGTGACTTTTAACTTACACAATGTTATATGTCAATTATATCTCAGTGAAGCTGGAAAATAATGTTTTTTTTTCACTGCGAAAGATTCACCCTGAGCTACATCTCTTGCCAGTCTTCCTCTGTTTTGTATGTGAACTGCCACAGCATGGCCACTGACAAGTGGTGTCAATCTGTGCCCGGAAACTGAACCCAGGCCACCGAAGCAGAACACACCAAAGCAGAACACACCAAACTTAACCACTAGGCCAGCAGAGCTGGCCCTGGAAAAAAAATTTTTTTAACATGTTATTCACCATTTTCACTATGTTGACATTTGCACCGATGTTGCAAAAGCAGTGGTAAATGGATAAAAGCACTGGTGCCTTAGCACAAATCAAGGCAGTGGCACGAAGCTGTACTAATAGTCCATGTATTCTTCACCACCACTCACTCACTGTTGGAAAAAAAAAAAAAATGCTAGTTTCACTTAAGAATGTCCTTCATGAAATTGTACAAATCCAAACTTTGAAAAAGTGTCTGGAGGAAATCACCTGTGGGCTTAAGCTAAACTAGATACTTTTTTATTTTTCATTTTATTTTATTTTTTTCAGTTTAACTCTTTTTTTTTTAATTTTATTTATTTTATTTTTCCCCCCAAAGCCCCAGTAGATAGTTGTATGTCATAGATGCACATCCTTCTAGTTGCTGTATGTGGGACTCGGCCTCAGCATGGCCAGAGAAGTGGTGCGTTGGTGCGCGCCCGGGATCCGAACCCGGGCCGCCAGCAGCGGAGCGCGTGCACTTAACCGCTAAGCCACGGGGCCGGCCCGTAAACTAGATACTTTTTTAATTGACACTGTTTTTATTTGAAAGAATGACTTACAGACAAACTGGTTATTCAGGCTTAGGTATTGGGCTGACATTTTCCCAAAATGTGTGAAGTGAGTCAGTATTTGTTGTCAATGATAAAATTTTAGCTTTCAAGCAAAAATTAGAATTTCAGAAAATTTGTATCCACCACTTAGTTCTCAATAACGTTCCAATAGATTTGTAATAGGAAAAAACTGGGGAGGAGTGAGGGAGACCAACAGAAAAATGGATAAATAATGATGTATTTATTCAGTGAAACAATATAGGAAGAATGAATGATATACAGCTCCATGCAAAAACGTGGGTGAATCTTAGAAACCCAGTGGAGGGGGGACAATTCTCAGAAGACTAAACACAGTATGATACAATATTTAGGGATATACATATATGTAATTAATAAAAACAGATATTGGCAGTTCAGGATAGCAGTTTTCTTTTGGCTGGAGTTAGAGTAGGGATGGGGAAGCCTGGGATAGGAGAAGAGCCCACAACTAGATGCGGGCATATTGATAACGTTCTAGTTCTTAGATTTGGTGGTGGGTTTACAGATGCTTATTGTATTATTTTGCTTGGTAACGTAACATTATGTTTCATCTTTTTGTATGTATCAAATATTAATAATTTAATAAATTAAAAATTTTTTTAATTTAAAAAATAGATGGACATAATGGGTCATTAAAAAAAGATACATCATATACCACTGAACTATATTTCAAAAATAAATATATTTGAGTTTATTGGGCAAGTCATATAACTGTTTCCTCTCTTGTCTTGGAGGTGATCATAGCTTGTGAGAATTTACCACGTGCCTAGCATTGTTCTAAGTAGTACTTCACATGTATTAATCTATTTAATCTTTCTAACAACTGTGAAGTAGGAACTATTATGTCTCTCTCTGTTTTAAGGATGAGATCCTAAGGCATAGAGGTTAAAGTAACTTGTTGAAGGTTGGACAGCTAACAAGTAGAAGAGCCAGAATTTGAACCCATGCAGTCTGGTTCCAGGGCCTACACCTTTTAACTACTATGCTTACATCAATTGCTATAATAGCATTTATTTAACAAGCTTATTATAATTAAAGGAGACTTCGTTTGTTGGTGTGGGGGTGGTACTAGAGATGTCAGGTGCAGTTATTGAGATTATTAGGCCTCCTTGAGAAGCTGTGGTCCCCCTGAGTAGGGGAGGATGGGTTGGGACATAAGACCAGTGAAAAGGAAAAGCTGCCTTCTTAAGAGCCTTTGCCAATGTGATTGTATCTTCCCTTTTTCTAGAGACCATGGCGAGCCCAGGGAAAGATAATTATCGGATGAAGAGTTATAAGAACAATGCCCTAAACCCTGAGGAAATGAGACGAAGAAGAGAGGAAGAGGGCATTCAGCTCCGGAAGCAGAAGCGGGAGCAACAAGTGGGTTAACTGGAGTATTCTCAAACATACTATTCAGGGAAGTGATCCAACCGCCATGATTGGCCTCCAGCTTGCACTCTCACTTTCCCCTTAGGAGGAGAGTAGCTTAGCTCTATGGGCCGTTCATCCAGTCTCCTTTGTTATAAAGAAATATTGGAAGCTTTGAGAAAGAGAGAACCAATCCCTTATTCCTTTTCCATAATTTATAACAACTTAGACATCATTTATGTCTTCAATATAACATTCTGGTTCTATCCCCTTCTCTCTTCTTCACCCTGTAGTCATTGTTGACCTGGCCTTCAAGCCCCAGCCCAAGCCTGGCACTTTAAAAGGTTCATCAGCCATTCTGGGCTGCCTTACTTCTATTTCTTGAGTCCATTCTTTGTAAGTCTCCCTAGGACTGAGACTATATTAATGCCTCATCACCTGCGCTCCACCACACGCCACCACCAAATTAGCGCTTTGCCCAGGTCTAGATGCAGTCACCTAACCTGCTTTTGTCCACCCTCTTGCTTTACTGTTATTCTTTCCTTCAAAGCCTTTTATACCCATCACCTTTTATACAAAGGGCAAAGAAATCTTTAAAGATTTTCTTGCTTATAAAAATGTTCTCTTAAAAAATGCAAACAATTAGATATAACATATAAAGTCTTTGAATATCTTTCCATGTCAGCATATTAAGCTTGGCATTTTCTCAACTATGCTGGCATTTCCTTGACAGTTATGCCATAATTTAACATTGGGTCATTCTTTGTTTCAGTGAGTAGTCTTATCACCATCTCTTCTCTTTACTTTCAGCTTTTTAAACGAAGAAATGTGGAGCTGATTAATGAAGAAGCCGCCATGTTCGATAGTCTCCTCATGGACTCCTATGTGAGCTCTACCAGTGGGGTAAGGTCCTTACATGTGCTTTAGGTAGGCCTGGGAAGTACCTGCTTCTACAGAACAGAAATCAGGCAGTTCACGTCATCTAGTAGCTTTGCCGACAACCATGTTAAGCTCTTTCTTCCATGGGCCCTTTTGTAGCTGATCAGCCTAAGGAGTCAGTAAGGATTCTTCTCTCTTGGAGACACTTGAGGAGGCATTTAAGGGAAGCCATCAGTTGCCTCAGAGGTTAGGAATCACTTTCAAATGTCCCAACTTGAAGCAGCCATGGAGTAAACAAACAGCTTCTCCTGAGCCTGCTGTTATGCTATTCTCTTGCCCTCAGGTCTTTAGAAAATAGGATGCCAAGCAGGATTGTGTGCTCATATCTGGCTCTAGTTTGGGTTTGCACAGTCTTGAACTTGTTTTATGTTCTAGGAGAGTGTGATCACAAGAGAGATGGTGGAGATGCTCTTCTCTGATGATTCTGACCTGCAGTTAGCAACTACACAGAAATTCCGGAAACTGCTCTCCAAAGGTACAAAACCTGGTTCTCCCTAGAGAGGCCCTACATGATTTAGACTCTTGTTTCTTCTCACTGACCTCATCAACTACTTCCCTTCCCTCATTCTACTCTAGCCCTACTGGCTTTGGTGTTCCTTTGACAAGCCAGACACATTGTTACCTTTACGTGGCTATTCCCTCTGCCTGATATCCTCTACTTGCAGATATCTGTGTGACAGCTCTCTCACTTCTGTGATCAGATCCTACCTTCTCAATGAAGCCTACCCTGACACCCTATCTAAAGTTGCAGACTACGCCCCACCCTCAACATTTTTAATCTCCTTGCCCTGCCCTATTCTTTATTTAACCCTCTACACTTATTACCTTCTAACACAATAGAATGTCTCTCCTCGCTGTCTCTGAGGACAGAGACTTTTGGTTTTGTTCACTACTGTATCCTCAGTACTAGAACTATGTCTGGCACATAGTTTGTGCTCAATATAAATTTGATATATGAAAGGAAAAATACTTCTTGCCTCAGTATTAAGCAGTCCCCCCAAGAACAGATTGCTGGTCTTAGAAGGGAAATGTTTAAACTAGGGCTGCTCATCCCTTGGGCTTTCGTCTCTCCCTTTCTTACTTGCTTAGGTAAGTAAGGTTGCTTGCTTCGGTTCAGTAAGCCAAAGGTGAGCATACTTAAATTAGGATTGGCTTGGACCGGCCCCATGGCTTAGCGGTTAAGTGCGTGTGCTCCGCTGCTGGCGGCCTGGGTTCAGGTCCTGGGCGCGCACCGACGCGCCGCATGTCCGGCCATGCTGAGGCCGCGTCTCACATACAGCAACTAGAAGGATGTGCAACTATGACATACAATTATCTACTGGGGCTTTGGGGGAAAAAAAAGGAGGAGGATTGGCAATAGATGTTAGCTCAGAGCCGGTCTTCCTCAGCAAAAAGAGGAGGATTAGCATGGATGTTAGCTCAGGGCTGATCTTCCTCACAAAAAATATATATGTATATATATTAGGATTGGCTTTTCCTCCATAGCATCCCAACTGTATTATACAGTTCAAAGGTGACCAGCTTGGGGCCGGCCCAGTGGTGTAGTGCACTCCACTTCAGCGGCCCAGGGTTCAAGAGTTTGGATCCTGGGCACAGAAGCATACACCACTCACCAAGCCATGCTGTGGCAGAGTTACACATAAAATAGAGGAAGATTGGCACGGATGTTAGCTCAGGGACAATCTTCCTCACCAAAAAAAAAAAAAGATGACCAGCTGTTGTTGAAATTATCTCACCAAAAGGGAGTTTGGGAATGTTAATAAGGATGGTCAGGAGTTTCTAGGAAGGATGGTGGGCTAACCCCAGTGAATGCATCAGCCAAAGCCTCTCCTGACTTCTCTCCTTCCTTTTTCCCTCCTCCAGAGCCTAGTCCTCCAATAGATGAAGTTATCAACACTCCAGGAGTGGTGGATCGGTTTGTGGAGTTTCTGAAGAGGAATGAGAATTGTACATTACAGGTGAGGCCTGGGGTGCAGGGGTACCATATGAAACCCCTTCATCCAAGAAATTGCAGTGAGATGTTTCTACAGACACAACTCTCAGGAACTAGACAAGCAGTATGAGGAAACATTTAAGAGAAGCTATCAGTTCCTTCAGAGGTCTTGGCCTCAAATAAGAGGGCCAGAATCTCTTACCTAAAACAATCTCAAAGGAAGGATAACAGAATATGATGACTGAACCTTCAGTTATAAATCGGAATTTCTATCCCACTTCTTGTTACCTGCGTGACCTGAGGCAAATCATTTAGCCTTTCTGGGTCTCTCTTCTCAGAAATGGGTGATGAGTCAATTCATTGGAACTTACTAGAAACTCAGCTGAAAGGGAGTTTAAGAAACTCATCTTACTCTACACCTGGTTTCAGAAATGAAGAAAGTGAAGCTCAGGAAATAAAAAACTGACTTGCTCAAGAACTCATGGGTGCTATGGTAGTGCAGACTAGACCTGGGACCATTGAAACCCAATTCCATCTTTCCATTGTGTTACATCACTACTGATACCTCTTCCTGCCATTTAAAGAGGAGAGATGAAAAGGCATGTGTTTTGATTTTTTTTAGTCAGGAGCAAGAGGCTTACTCCTCTTGCTGCCTCTTGCTTACTACCAGGCCAGCTGGTAGACATTGTTGCTCTGTCTGGAATGACCTCTCAATCATGACTTAATCTCACTTTCAGTTTGAAGCTGCCTGGGCTCTAACGAACATTGCCTCTGGAACTTCTCAGCAGACCAAAATTGTCATTGAAGCAGGGGCTGTCCCCATTTTTATAGAGCTGCTTAACTCGGACTTTGAGGATGTACAGGAACAGGTAATGCTTGAATTTGACTTGATTCTTGATGGTACCTGTGGTATAATGAAAAATATATTTGGTCTTTGTTCCCAGTTCCTGGCAAAGAGCTCCTAAAAACCTGAGAATTTTCTGAGTGATAGGAGTGTATTTTGTTATTTATATAATGAGCCCCTTTGGAACACACCTGAGTCTATACTAATGTGATGACTCAGGGTGGGGCCCCTAGATAGCCTTAGGATGGGGCTGAGGGGTGGGAGGGCTGATCGTTGGAGAGTGGGAACTCTCAGCCCTAACCCTCCAACCTTCCAACCTTTCCTCACCCCTCCACCCCAACCTTCCCAGGGAGGTTAGGAGGGCTGGAGATAGGGTTATAAAAACTTTTGAACAGTGAGATTCAGAGAGCTTCCAGGTTGATGAACACATCGATGTGCTGGGAAGGTGGTGTGCCTGGAGAGAGCATGAAAGCTCTGTGTCGCTTCTACTCCTCACCCCATACCTTGCCCTATGTATACTCTTCCGCTTAGCTTTTTGAGTTGTATCCATTATAATAAACTGGAAAATGTAAGTAAAGTGTTTTCCTGAGTTCCATGAATCATTCTAATGGTTACTGAACCTGAGGAGGGGATTGTGGGAAGTCTTGAATTTATAGCCAGTCAGTCAGAACTACAGGTGGTACCTGGGATTTGCAACTGGTGTCTAAAGTGGGGGCAGCCTTGTGGAACTGAGCCCTTAACCTGGGGCTTAACTGGGGGGTCAGCGCTAACTCCAGGAGTTAGTATCAGAATTGAATTGAATCATTGGACATACAGTTGGTGTCAGAGAATTGGTTTTTGGTGTGGGAAAAACTCCACACATTTGGCATCAAAGGTGGTATTGGAAAAAAGACCACAGTATCCATTTCTACAGATCATAGAGATAAAGACACAACTTCCATTTTTTTCCACTGAACTTTTGCTGGTTGGATAGAAATGGAGAGTGGTACTGGAATTTTTTCCTCCATTACTACATATAAGGTCAGTCCTGTGAGCCTACAAGAATGCAACTTTTCAATCACTTCCTCCTTTTCTAGGAGGTGGGGATAGGGAGGTCTTGGTTTGGCTTCTCTGGCTGCAGTACAGATATCAGCCTGTCTTCCCCACTGAATCAGGAACTCTCAGAGGAGAGGTCCTCACAGAGCAAGTGCTCGATAAGGATGTCAACAGGGTGGGTACCTGAGCTTGCTTTGTGTATCTCAGGCCTTGATATAGTTTTCATCCTGGTTACTGGTGGGTATTCACTCTGTAGTTGTGAGTGTAAAGTACTTACAGAAGCCACTAGGCTTTGTGGGTGATGGTTCCATCATCCCTTTTACAGGCAGTCTGGGCACTGGGAAACATAGCTGGAGACAGCTCCGTTTGCCGAGATTACGTCTTGAACTGTTCCATCCTTAATCCTTTGTTAACGTGAGTAACTATGATCGTCTGCACCTGGGGCACCTATAGGGCAGCCATGTGGCAGGTCTTTTGGGAGCAGCTTACCTTAAGAAGATAAGTAAATACAAAAACGCTGAAAGTGCATTCTGATTGCCAAAGTAAAAGCTATCTTTTGAGAGTAGGAAGATTTTGCCAAAGAGGACCTTGTGCTTCCTCACTTCATGGCACTATAGAATCTCATGTTGGTCATACCTGCCTGATTGTTGAGCCAGAGGAGAGAGGCCAGGACTAGCCCATCTGTAAAAATCCAGCCTTCTCTACGGAATACATTTATTTGCTATGGGTTTATGCGTAGGTACATTGGAGAGCTCTGTTGTAAACCACAGGTCAAAGACCCCATGAAGGGTTATCTGGATCCTTCTCCCATCCCTCCCTCCCATACCCCTAAAGTAGAGCTACATCTAAACCAAAATAGATGGGTGAACTGTTCTTCAGAGACCACAATCTCATAGGCTACTGCTATAACTTTTTCTTGAGCCCTTCACAGAAAACCATTCGTACTGCATGGCTAAAGCCCTCACACTAGACCTTCAGCTTTTGTTTCCAAGGAGAACAGCAACAATACTCCTTATTTAGAACTTAGGGCAACAGTTAGGGGCACAGTATGTCCTATCTTAAAAGCTTTGCAAGCTTACTCAAGATCCGATCCTCTGTCCTAATTAGCTATGGTTTTAACTAGCCACAGCAGATCCTAATTCGCTGAAGATGTGGGTTGGCCTCCTGGCCCAAACAGGCTCAGTTAACTTAGATCTATGAATAGGAAGAAACAGAGAGGCTGCTAGTCTTACAGGTCTGATTGGATTTGCTCCTGGGGTTCATTGGCAACAGTCCTATGCCAAGTGCATCATTGCTCAGGATCTGGCTTTGTTGTTTCCTTTAGACTCCTTACCAAGTCCACACGACTGACAATGACACGGAATGCAGTCTGGGCCCTGTCAAACCTCTGCCGAGGGAAGAACCCACCCCCAGAGTTTGCAAAGGTGAGAGCTTTTTACTAGTTCCTGAGTGATAGCAGGTTTCTTCATATGGGGAAATTTTGATATGAAGTTTTCAGTTCTTTGGGGAACCCCTTAGAATCTCAATCCATGGCAAACTGAAAGAGGTGATTATCAACGAAGTAGGTGATCTCATGTGCCTGAATGGTAAAGTGAAAAGTAGGCCTGATGGTATAATGTAGAGATCTCCAGGGCTTAGAATTACTTGTAGAGGAGGGGACAGCAATGTGAGGGTTAGTGGTAAAGCTGATGTAGCCCTGCCCCCCTATGAGTCCCTCTCACTCTGCTTCCAACAGGTCTGTCCTTGTTTGCCTGTGCTGTCTCGCCTACTCTTCAGCAGCGACTCAGACTTGCTGGCAGATGCCTGCTGGGCCCTTTCTTATCTGTCTGATGGCCCCAACGAGAAGATCCAGGCAGTTATAGACTCTGGAGTCTGCCGGAGATTGGTAGAACTTCTAATGTGAGTGGTCTCAGTTAGAAAGGGAACAGATTCCCTAAGCTTCTATAAGCTCAGACTAAAGAACTACATTCAGCAGTCTGTTGCCCTATCCCAAGGTCTGGAGCCATGAGAATGCTGCCAGCCTTGGTGGTCAGCAGGGCTGAATACCGTGTGCTGGCTCTCTACTGATCAGATCTCCCTCCTCTGTAGGCACAACGATTATAAAGTGGCTTCTCCTGCCCTGAGAGCTGTGGGTAACATTGTCACTGGGGATGACATCCAGACCCAGGTAAGGAAGAGGAGAGCTGTCTATGGACAAAACTCTTCCCTGTTAAGGGCTTTGGTCCTGATGGGAGGCAGCGTGGTCTAAAAGAGAAAGCATGGGGCCGGCCCTGTGGCTTGGTGGTTAAGTGCGCGCGCTGCGATGCTGGTGGCCCGGGTTCGGATCCCGGGTGCGCATCGAGGCACCACTTCTCCGTTCATCCTGAGGCCGAGTCCCACATACAGCAACTAGAAGGATGTGCAGCTACGACATACAACTATCCACTGGGGCTTTGGGGGGAAAAAAAAATAAATAAAATCTTTAAAAAAAAATAAAAATAAAAAATAAAAGAGAAAGCATGGACTTGAGTGAAGAATTCCAACTCAGCTACTTTCTCTGTGAACATGGGCAACTTCGTTGCCTTCATTTCTTCTATAAAGTGGAAGCAAATCATCATCCATTGGGTGCTTTTGAAGGAAAACTAAATGAAATAACTTGACTTACTACATGGGACATTGTAAGGTAACTGTTAATAGTTTTTGAGTTATGATCCCTTTGAGATACTAAAAGCTATGGAACCTTTACCCCTACTTCCTAGACTTTTAGGATCCTAAGGACACTATCTAATGTTAATCTCGTGTTAGTAGCACCTCCAGTGAGGGCACAGTAAACAGGATTCCTTTGTTCAAAGGCTAGAGATCTAGGTATTATTTGGATCTTGAGTAGTTGGCATAATTATGTGGGATTCTTGACAGATTTCTTACAAGTGAGCAGTCTTACTCAAACACACACTCTAATTTTCTAGGTCATTCTAGTGTGTGTGTGCATATGTGTGCAAATATTCATAACATAAAATGTACTGTTTTAACCATTTTTAAATGTATAGTTCAGTGGCATTAAGTACATTCACATTGTTACTCAGCCATCACAAGCATCTATCTCCACAACTTTTTCATCATCCCAAACTGCTTTGTACCCATTAAATAATAACTCCCTCCCTTCAGCCCCTGGTAACAACCATACAACTTTCTGTCTCTTATGAGTTGGACTACTCTAGGTACTTCATATCAGTGGAACCATATATATTTGTCCTTTTGTGTCAACTTATTTTACTTAGCATGATATCCTCGAGGTTATCCATATTGTAGCATATGTCAGACTTTCATTCCTTTTTATGGCTGAATAATAGTCCATTGCATGCATATACCATATTTTGTTTGTCCATTCATCTGTTGATAGACGCTTGGGTTGTTTTTGCCTTTGGCTATTGTGAATAATGCTGCATTGAACGTTGACACACAAGTATCTGTTTGAGTCCCTGCTTTCAGTTCTTTGGGGTATATACCCAGAAGTGGAATTACTGGATCATATGGTAATTTTATGTTTAAGATTTTGAGGGGCCAGCCCCAGTGGCCTAGTGGTTAAGTTCGGCATGCTCTGCTTCTGTGGCCTGGGTTCAGTTCCTGGGTGTGGACCTACACCTCTCACCAGTGGCCATGCTGTGGCGGCAGCTTACATACATAATAGAAGAAGATTGGCAACAGGTGTTAGCTCAGGGTGACTCTTCCTCAAGCAAAAAGAGGAAGATTGGTGACAGAGGTTAGCTCAGGGCGAATTGTCTCAGCAAAAAAAAAAAAAAAAAGATTTTGAGGAACCACCATACTGTTTTGCACAGCGACTGCACTATTTTACATTCCCAATAGCAATGTACCAGATTCCAGTTTCTCTACATCCTTAACAACACTTGTATTTTCTGGGTTTTTTGATAATAGCCATCCTAATAAGTGTGAAGTGGTATCTCATTGCAGTTTTTGTTCACATTTCCCTAATGTTCAGTGATGTTTGGCATCTTTTCATGTGCTTTTTGGCCATCTGTATATCTTCTTTGGAGAAATATCTATTCAAGTCCTTTGCCCATTTTTTAATTGAGTTGTTAAGTTTTTTGTTGTTTATTTGTAAGAGTTCTTTATATATTCTGGATATTAATCCTTATCAGCTATATGATTTGTATATATTTTATCCCATTTTGTGGTTTGCCTGTTTTCTCTGATGGTATCTCTTGATGCACAAAAGGTTTTTTTTTTTTTTTTTGGTGAGGAAGATTGGCCCTGCGCTAACACCTGTTGCCAGTCTTCCTCTTTTTGCTTGAGGAAGAGTGGCCCTGAGCTAACTAAATCTGTGCCTGTCCTCCTCTATTTTGTACGTGAGTTGCTGCCACAATATGGCTTGATGAGTGGTATAGGTCCACACCCGGGATTCAAACCTGCGAACTCAGGCCACCGAAGCAGAGCACGCCAAACTGAACCACTAACACCACTGGGCCAGCCCCTAAAAAAGTTGTTAATTTTGATTAAGTCCAATTTAACTAATTTTTCTTTTGTTGCCTGTGTTTTTGTTGTTCTAGGTCATTCTTAACTGTTCAGCCCTCCCTTGCCTCCTCCACTTGCTGAGCAGCTCCAAGGAGTCAATCCGGAAGGAAGCTTGCTGGACCATTTCAAATATTACTGCTGGCAACAGGGCTCAAATACAGGTAGAACAAGCAGGAGGGGAGTCAGGGGGCAGGGGCCGGGGGGGTTGGCAGGTGGGAAGGCATGGGAACATGAGAGGTTGTGGGATATTTGCTTCTAGAAGAAAGAGTTTATTTCCCTCTAGAAATAGAGGTCAAAGATTTTGTGTAGTGCAAGCCAGGTTCCTCTGTAGCGTATCACCTATATGAGAAGAACAAGGGAGGCCTCCCAGGAAGGGGAAGATGTCTAAACCTTAGCTGATTTTTGGGCTGGATTTGCTTTCTCTTCTTGAAGTGACCTTTTTTTCTTCACCCATCCCCCCCACCAAATCCTCTCTAAGGCTGTCATAGATGCAAATATTTTCCCTGTGTTGATCGAAATCCTTCAGAAAGCAGAGTTCCGTACAAGGAAAGAGGCAGCCTGGGCCATCACCAATGCCACGTCAGGAGGAACCCCTGAGCAGATCAGGTATCACATTCCTTTCCCATTGTCCTGAGTGATGTGTGTCCTCTCCCTCTTGGCTCATGGTTTACATGTGACCTCTAAACTGCTTTTTCTGGGATAGGTCTGTCCCTGTCTAGCTGCAGTAGAGTTTAACTGGTAAGCTGCTAGGGTGGCACTGCAATAGGTTCCTATAGACCAGGTACCTCTTTTCCATCTTGGGGAATAGAATCCTGTGACACAGACATCCTTCTCTCCTCTACTTCTTCCTACCTTCTAGAGAATTTAAATCTTTGTAATTCTTAATTATCCATACAAATGGAGGAGAACCATGCTGTGGCTCATTCAAAGCAGCTTCTTCAGAAAATTGTTTTGAGGGTGATATTTGGGAGAAGCAAATAGAAAGCTATTTTGTGTGTGTGTGGTCTTTGATTTTAGTTTCCATTATCGATATGAGTAGAAGTGATGGGAGCTAGACAAGTGTCTTGCCCTCAGCTTGTAGCCTAGGAGGGGAGTATATTCAGTATACAGAAAGTCTTAGGAGAAAAGGGATAGCCATTGAGTTAAGCTTTGAAGGAAAAATACGGGGTTATAAAAGGTCAAAGGCCTTCTGGACAGGAAAAAGCATAGGCAAAGGTACAAGAATCAGAAATCTGGAGACATTTACATGTTTGACTGCAATGTAGTGTCCTTGGAAGGGAGTGATGGGAGGCAAAGCTAGAAGAGGAGTGTGGGAGCCAGATTCTAGAGGGTCTTTATTGGCATACCTGTAGAGCTTGGACTGTGAACAATTTTAAGCAGAGAAATGATGTGTTCAGAGTGATAATATTGCAGCAAGGAGACATTAGAGACTAAGAGGAGGAATCTATGGCAGCCTTCCGCTTGAAATGAACTAGACCAGCAGCACTGGGGAGGGTGGAGAGCTTAAGATAAAGGATGGGTGGTTATGAAGGCTCAGGAAGAGTGGATTGCTGAGAGTCTTGACATGGATGAGAGAGACCCACAGTCCCCTCAGCACCTACCTAGCACCTCCCTAGCCCTGCATTAATTTAGAACTTGCCTGGTCTCTTGCCCCCAGGTACCTGGTCTCACTGGGCTGCATCAAACCCCTGTGTGACTTGCTGACTGTGATGGATTCAAAGATTGTACAAGTGGCCCTCAATGGACTAGAAAACATCCTGCGACTTGGAGAGCAAGAGGGCAAGCGCAGTGGCTCAGGGGTCAATCCCTACTGTGGCCTCATCGAGGAAGCCTACGGTATGTACTCTCTCCCCAACCTCACCTCTGCCTAAAGTAGAGAGGTTCTAGGTCAGAACCTGGGGACTGTAGGTCTCCAAAGTGGTATACATATGTGAGGGTGTGTGTTTTTTGGGGTCATCATTGAATGCAAGGTTGTATCCCACCAGTTCCTTCTCCCTTGAGGAGCAGTACATCAGTTCTCTTTCTTATAGGCTCTCCCCAATAAGTAGGTATGGTATAGATGGAAAAAAATAAAGCTCCAGAATTGATAATAGAATCAGGCACTGGAAGGCCTGTTTTCATCTGAGTTTCTGGCAAATTCCAGTAAGAGTGCTGGATTGACTCATCACTCATCTCTCAGAGATTCAGAGAGACTAATGATTTGCCCGTGTCACACAGGTAGTTAAAAGCAGAATAGGGACTAGAATCTCTGATTTATAACTGACACTTTGGGGTTATATAGTTGGGGGAAAAGATCTTGGCGCTCCTCTTTCACATCAAAAAGAGATCTGATCGTATTACTGGTGTTTATAAACACTAACATAGCTCAGGGAAAGAAAAATAGATTGTTTCATGGACCCATAAAAAAGCACTCCAAGTTTACTCTTCTGCCTCCTTCCTTCTTGCCACCATAGGCTTGGATAAAATTGAGTTTCTCCAGAGCCATGAGAACCAGGAGATCTACCAGAAGGCCTTCGACCTCATTGAGCACTACTTTGGTGTAGAAGATGATGATAGCAGCCTGGCTCCCCAAGTGGATGAAACGCAACAGCAGTTCATCTTCCAGCAGCCTGAGGCCCCCATGGAGGGCTTCCAGCTATAATGTCTGCCTCCGGGGAGGGGAGGGAATGGGAAGCACCACCAACCAGTGGAAAAGCAGCCCTCTGGTGGGCGGGAAACCAGCCCCCCCACCATTAGCCACCACACACCTCTGCTGCTCTGGAAACTGTGCTCTTGACCTGCTCCGCCCCCTTCCCTGGAGGGAGCACCCTCTGGACAGACAAAACCATCTGAGGCTCACATTTGGGTTTTGTGACAAGAAGGGGACGTGTTGGGTTTTTCTTCCTTATGCTATATTTTGGCTGCACATATGTCTTTAACCCAGGAGCCCAGGGGTAGACAAAGGAGGACTGAGGTAATCAATTTTGCACCTTTTTTTTATTTTTATTTTTTTCTTTAGTGGTGACTTCCTTGCCTTTTATCTTCCTTCATCCTTCCCAGTCCTCTGCCCTGATCTGTGTAACTCTTCTCTTGGGTACTTGAGCAGATGGAATATTCCAGAGGTGGGGGTGGGGGTGGGGAGGGGAGATATCCAAAACAAAGTGTTCTTGCTCTGACAGAATATTAATCTTGTATGCTTGGATTGAGTTATTTAATTTTTTTTCTTTTGCACATTTTTCTTGTATTAAGATTGCTCTTTCCAAGAGCCATGAGTTCCTGGTTTTAGGAATCCCAGCTGCCAGCATTGTCTGGGACTAGAGGCTGAGGGGGGGTCACCATGAGACAAAGACCCCCTTCTTCCCTCTAACCCCTTTCCCAGACCTCTTTAGTTTGGGAGATCCCCCTCACTCTCCTGGGGCGAGGACACCAGTGGGAGTGGAGGGGAGGAGCACAGGCCTTCAGATAGGGCTTCCCATGTGTCGCTACTGATCCCATGTTTCCTACCCACCTTCCAATGGTGCGACCCAACTTCATTTGTTTACTTGAAATTTCCCCTCGGAGTTGAATAAACCTCTGAGGTAGCTGTATTTTCTCCTAAGCATGAGACAGGGGGCTGTGGTCCTTCCTTTCTCCTGAGGAGAAAGTCCTTGCTCTAGTGACCCATAAGTTGCAGAGGAGGTTGGAGTGAGAGTGTCATGTATTGGGATAGCCAGGGATCCCTGCCTTTGGCCTTTCTTCTTCCTCTTCCATAGTTGGATCATGTATATTTTACTTCCAAAGGAGAGAATGTCAAAAAGTTCTGTATTTTTTTATATTCTATATATTAGGTAGGTCAATCTTAATTGGTCTCAAGAGGAAGAACTGTCTGTAATTTCTCTAAGTAGGATACTGTGAGGAAGACCAAAAAGACATGTGGAAGCTCCCTCACTCAGGAAGCCTGAATGTGGTCCTTTTCCTCTCTGCTTGGGTTCTGTGCCACCACCTGGGACCAACCCTTAGCTCTGGAACCTTTATATAGCAGGTCAGCCTGGTCTCATTGTCCTAGTACCTGGAGGGAGCAAGGATGGCCCCAGGGCCTGGTGAAGTCTACCACTCTAGTCCTTACTGCTGAGCATCCTGCTTAGATCAGGAAACCCACAAAGTAGTCTGGCTTCTCAGATTCAGTCTCAAAGGCCCTTGTCCACATACTTTATCACTTATGGCTGCCTCTCCTATTATCACAGAAACTTAGCAGCCTCGGGACTTTTGTGGGAGTTATTGATATCTTTCCTGTTTGGATTCCTTGTATCTGGTTGGGGTTTTGCCCTTCTTTGTGACAATTATAATCCTAATGCCTTTTCTTTTCTCTTTGAGTAAAGCTAGTGCAGTGCCTCAGTGGCTTGCCTATGCTTTAGTGGATTACCTGTGATAGTCAAACCCAGTTGTTGGGGATAGGGGTGGAGGAAGTAGTTGGCTAAGTATAGACCAGCTGTGGAGCTGAAGGCACAATCTTCCCTGCCCCTGCTTCCCCACTGTGCTTGGTCAGAGGTGCCCTGCTCCAAGCTGTATCTTCCCTTCCCCAGAAACAATGCCATTCTTGCTCCTATTCCTGTGCATCCCCTCTGGCTCAGGTGAAATCCATGCCCCTCTCATTACAGATCTAAGTTCAGGTGCTCATTGTCGGCCATTGGTCTTGAATTTGCCCTCTCTTTCTAGTGTCAAGATCCAACTCCAGAGCCATTTTCTGAGAAAGGTTGTTTGGGGCTAGTGGTTATCACTAAAAAGTCACACCAATGCTGTACCACCTTAGTGAGTCACATGCTACTCTTCAGCTTGGGATTGGTGACTGCCAACCCCCAATCCCACAGGTAGGCAAGGGGCAGGACCTTTTTCACTTGGCCTGCTGACTTCATTACAAAACTGTTCTCTTCCAGTTCAGACAAAAGCTACTCCCCCCCCCTTGTCTTTGTCCAAAGGGCAGAGCACTTTAGTAGGATCTACTTTGTACATCTCAAAGAATAGTTAAGTCCTATTGGGGCCAAATTCTTATTGTGAGACATACACATCCTGCTTTTCCCAACTATTCCTCCAAAATCTACTTTCACTTCAGATCTGGGTCCTATACCAGATGGAAGACTTTTTTAATGATCTGGCTTCTGTTTAAAGCCAGTTTTCTCCAAGGATTTCAAAGACTGAAGTGTCTCCCAGGGCACAACATGACAGATTTCTCATCAGATTAAGTGGCCTCTAGGAGCTTTCCTTTGTTAGTGTCTTCCTTAGACCATGTTTTCCCATAATCGTCCTCTAACTCCTTTTTAGTCAACAAGCAAAGTTCTTACAGCCCATAGAGGCAGTAACATCATCTTTTGTGTCTTGTCCTCTCTCTTGGCTTTCTTGGAAAGCAAAATATTATTTCTTTAGCCCAGGCTTGACAGCCACTCTTTGTGGGCAGCTCCCATCTGGACTCTAGACCCTGGCCTAGGTGAGGTCAAAGGCTTTCTGGTAGATTTCTGAATGGACGTTGCAGAGATGGAAGGGCTCCCCGGCCTGGTGTAGGGAATAGCCTGATAAGACAGGTTTTTGGAATCTTCATATGTTTGCAATATGGCTGGTATATCCATTTTAAGATCTTTGGTGGAGGTGGAGGTATCTAGGTGTGGATTAAGGGAACAAGGAGCCTACTTCTTAACTAGTGTGTTCAAATACTGTTTTGAACAGTGCCAGCTATTTATTGCCAGCCCCTCTGGACATCCCACCCCAAAATCATCTTTTCTAGTACTAACAAGGTCTCTGGTCTTAGAAGCCTGCCTTCAATTCTGAGCTGTCCCCAGTGACTGCCTCGCCTTGGTGTTGGCTGCAACCTTCTGGTTGAACCACAGGGTTCCACCCTCATCTGGCCAGCCTGGTCACTTGGGGTAGTGGGTACAAATGACCCTTTTAAGAAGCAGGCATTAATGATCTCAGCTTTCAGGGACCCGACCCTTGATGTTCCCCCTTTCCTAGAACTCTTAGATCTACTCCTTCTCTCTTTGCTGTAGAAGCCACTTTCCAGGAGCCCTGTTTTTTGGAACTGAACTGCACAGATTATAACTGCTTCTGTACTTAGCTAAGGAAGAGCAAGGAAGGCTCTCAGGCACTGACTTGCTATTTCTTTAAAGCCAAACCAGTTTAAAATGAAAATGGTCTATCAGAATGAACTGGATTTCCATTTCTCAAGTCTACCTGCCTTCTTTCTACATCCTAGAGTTACCCCTGTTTCTAGCAAACTAGAAGGGAAGGAGATGAATGCCTGGGAATACTTCCTCATCCCACATGCCCCTCTTTGAAGGCCTCAGCTCATTTGTTCAGGCCACATCTCTTCTCAATGAGACTCAGCTTGGTATCCATCATTTTGGGTATTCCTCAGTAGATTCATCTTGTGGGGTGAGATTCTGGATTCTCAGTTGAAGGCAGGGAGTCAGGTTCTCCAGGTCCCTGCAGGCACTACAGGGACACGTAGGGAAAACAGGCTGGTTGGGGGCCTCAGGAATGTGTATGACTATCTGCCTCTCTGGCAGGCTGGGGAAGGGTGCAAGGCTCACTGCACTGAACTGAGGAAACGCTCATAACCAGTAGCAACATCTTCCAGGTAGGACTATCCAAAAAGTGAGTGTGAGAGTGAGAAATTGCCCAGAGTGGGTTTCTTCCACAGCCGTTTTAGGATTGCACATTCTAGACCAATCTTGTCCAGTATTTTTTCTTGTCTTAACTTTTGGATTCTGTTGTTAAGCCAACAAGCTGAGAATTTGGCTCTGCGGAGATCCATATGGTAGGCACTAGCTGCTCTTTGACCAAGGCCTTCCTAAATGATTCAGTCATCCCATTGTCTAGCCCCTAGCCCCACCCCCAGATTTAAGACCACGGCAAATGAAGAATTTGAGGTCAATACCAACCAAGTCTGTGAATTAAAGCTGTTATTTTTCCTCTCAGAGGGCATTTTGCATCAGGCCTGGGCTATGTGCAGAATCAAAACTGGGTATGAGAGTTAGAAGAAGCAGTGTTAAATTTTGGGCCCAGAACACCCTGGGAGAAAGGTTTGTGTAGTGTGTTATAAAGGTCTTCAGTGGCTTTGGGCCTACCTCGCTACTTCTGGGCGAGCCTAACTGCTGACGTCTGCGTTAACACATATCTGAACCCTTCTGCTAAACACTAGCCCTGCTCCCCTGTGTAGGTCAGATTTTCAGCCCCTGGGTTTGGGGAGAGAAAACTTGGCCATGCCCTGGGGGCAATGAAGGAAGTCAAAGCTTAGAGCCTGAGACTGGCTAGGAACCTCTGACTCACAAGATGGCCTTAAAGAGCCCACCTCTACAAGAACCTTCAGGCCCTGGAGTTAGGTATTGGCCAGCTTTTGTGGGAACTGCCTTTGATTGAACCACTAAAGAAGTGAAGGGGCTGTGAGGTCTTAGCCACCCAAGACAAACTGGCTGTCCCTCAGAAACAGCTTGGGTTCCCAGCTACAAACCTAAGGAAGGTGAGTCGAACCCTTTTCCTTACTGGTTTTTGTTTCCAAATTCATTTGCTTTTAGTTTTCCAAGAACTGTAAACTGGCTGTTTTCCATGTTCTCAGGGCCCCTGGGTAGACAGACAAAGCTTGATTATTTCAGAGCAGACACAGGCCAAGAAACCATGGCATTGAGTGTGCTGAGTCCAGACAAATGATATTTATATACACATCCAAATTTGAAGAGAAAATGTATTTCTTTAGGTTTCAAACACTGTAATAGATATAAAGCAAAAATAAAAACCTGTTGCAAAGTTCTAAATCGTCTTCCTTGGAATGATCCTAGATTTTGTGGAAGCGAATGAGGAGAGGGTGTTTAAACTTGTGGCCTAACAGTGGAATTAAGAATTGCAACAGCCTGCTCCTGCTATAGAGAATCTTTTTAAATCACCTTTATTGTAATATAATTGACATAGAGTAAATGGCACATATTTAAAATGTACAATTTGATAAGTTTTGGCATATACAATCAAGATAGTGAACATATCCATCACCTCTAGAAGTTTCCACATGCCCCTTTGGAATCCCTCCTTCCTGCCCGACCCCCAGCAACCACGCATCTGCATTTTGTCACTGTAGTTTAGTTGGCATTTTCTAGAGTTTCTCTAAAGGATTTTGACATCATTTCATCAGCACCATTGCACAGCCCTTTGAGCCCATTGAGGTCATACAGTTCACAACTACCCACTTCATTTTAGATCAGTTCCTAAAGCAGAGATTACAGACAAAAAGTTGGTTCAACCCAAAAGGAGGGTTTTGGTTGGCTGATAGAGTGTGTTTAAGGTTTAATTTGTTGCCAACATTTAAAAAAATAAAGATATATCTATCTTGAAAAATATCTGGCACTGCTGGGCCTGAGTTTCTGCTTGAAAACAATCTGCAAGAGCTCCATTTTACCACAATCACCGCCATTCTCAATGGTCTCCCTGACTGACTCTGGCAGATGCTAATATTGGTGCTATTCTCTTGTACAGCAAAGGAGAAAGTAACTTTTTAACCCATGTTTCTATCAAATTTTCTTATTCCTTGCCTGCCTGCTCTACTCATTACCCAGGTGGCCCCTGTAGGCCACTGATGATCCTGATACACCACTCCACCCTTCACCCCATGCATACCTTGTTCTTGCTTATTATGTTCTTTATCTCTGCCTAGAACATCCTCTTCCCATGAAAATCCATCAAGGCTTGATTTATATGTTACCTTCTCAAGAAATTTCCAACGTGCTTCTCTGGAAATAAGCAGGGACTTGGTTTCGTGAGACCTGGATTCCAAACCTTTCAGAGCTTGAGTTTGACCATTATACTATTATACCATATTGCCTCTCAATGTTACCTGGAAAACGCAAATTCTTGCTGCCTAAGGGATGTGGAAGAGAACTGCCCTGAAGTCTCTAACTGGGGAAAATACTTAACCTCTTAAGAGCCCTAAAACAATGCCCAATTTGCACAACAATTTAAAACTTTCTCTGCCTCCAGAATGATGCTAGGCTTTAGGACTAGAGAATTTAGCCAATGTCGTTGTTCTCGCAATGTCATTGACTTGTAAAGCAAGTAATTTCAACACCTTGTTACTAATGCCGTAATAAGACCTCTATCCAGACTTAGGGAGCCAGGACAGACTGCAGAGCACTGGGAAGGCTCTGAAGTGACCTTTGACCTGGACTTCAAAAGATTTTGTTTTTGCCAGAAGGCCATTTTGGAAGGTGCAATAGCACCTGCAAAAACCTAGGAAATCCTGGAAATAGAAGTATAATTGGAGCAAAAAAGGCAGAGGGGATGGGCAGGATCGGCTGGAAACAGAAGCCAAACCATGTAGACATTAAATTCCATGTGCAAGAGTTGTCGGTTTTTTTTCCATTACCTCTAGGCAACTGGATAAAGAATTGTGATATCACTTGTGGAGAAAAGTTTGGCTTTTTTCCCCTTTAGCCCCAGTGCAACTGAGACTTTGTAGAGAATGAGCCAGTCAAAGAAAAGGCTCAGCAATCTGCTGAGGCCAAAATTCCCCTTACAGGGCCCCCTTACCCTTTCCAAAGAGGGACTCAAGCTGGTAATGGAGAGGGGAAAAAATATAACCTACTTTCACAAGTCACAAGTCATCGTCAGGGAAAGCGTCCCATGGTGGTTATTTCTTCTGGGTAAGAGGCAGGGTAGTCTAGTAGTTAAAGATGGGTGCTGGTGCCAGACTTCCTGGTCTCGAATCTCTGCTCTAACCATTCAATAACGACGTGACCTTGGACAAGTTATCTAACCTTTGCCTTACGGTCCTTGGCTGTAAAATGGGAATAACAAATAGTACTTAGTTATGAGGATTAAGCTAGTAGACACTGAGAAAGCACACTGTAAGCGCTCAAAGAACTGCTATTGTTATTAAACGCTTCTATTTGAATACGGATATTGATGCCCTCGGATAAAAAAAAAAATGCCAGGGGCCAGCCTGTGGCTTAGCGGTTAAGTGCTCGCACTCCGCTGCTGGCGGCCTGGGCTTCGGATCCTGGGCCCGCACCGACGCACCACTTCTCCGGCCATGCTGCGGCAGTGTCCCACATACAGCAACTAGAAGGATGTGCAACTTATACAACTATCTACTGGGGCTATGGGGAAAAATAAATAAATAAATAAAAATTGTTAAAAAGAAAAAAATGCCTGGTCACACAGCAAATTAGTGATGAAGTTAGGACTGGAATACAAATCTCCTGATTCCCAGCCCCAGTATTCTATCCCTTGTCCTCAGAGTTCCTAGATAGTCATAGATGTTCGCAGAAAGGGTGGAGGCATGTAAGAAAGAACAGCCAGGGGCAAGGCTTTGCGAGCTGAATCACAGCTTCCGCGTAATAGAAACGAGGTTGACGTCGATATTTGTACAAAATAACCTGCTTCTTTCGGACCTCCTGGGTATCGGGCTCCAAGACTAAACCCCTTCCTACTGCATCTTGGGAGTTGGGGTCAGCCCCAGTGCATGGAGGGACTTGTAGTCCTCTCCCTCCCCCGCCTTCCCAACTCACCGGCCTCAGAGGCTGCCTTCGCTTCATCTTTCCCAGCAAGCCTCGCGAGAGCGCCGGCTATTGATTGGCTGCGGCGGGAGCAGGCGGCTCTGCCGGCAGCGGTTACCCAGGGTTTCCGGTGCGAGGCCAGAGCGGGCGAAGCCGTCGGGACGTTGTCGTTGAGGTGGGTACCACGGCGGCTAGAGGGACGAGGCGATCAGACGGTCTGTGGACCTGAACCCTTTCGGCCAGTGCGGGGAAACACGCCGATTATGCGCGAGAGCTCGGGCCGGGGGGGCAGGGCTGAGACCTGTGCGCATGCGCGGGCGGAGCGCGCGGCTGGAGGGCGCGCGGGGTGTGGGTGGCTGCGCGCGGGCGCGCGCTGGGGGGCCCACGTGGGGCTAGGGGGCGGGGAGGGACCGGCGATGGAGCGTCCCGCCACGTCAGTCTCCGTCCCTGAGCCTGTCCCGCGGTAGGCCTGCGTGAGGGCCCGTGTTGTCCCCGGGAAGTGGTTTCGGGAAAAAGGAGGCCTCTCCTTCCTCGCTCCCGGAGCAGCTCCCGGAAAACCTGTCTGGGCACACCAGGCTCCTGTGACTGACTAGAGACAGGGGGAACCGTTGGCTCCCTCTGGGGAAGGCCGGCCAGTTTGTTTTAAGAAGCTTTGTGCGCCCAGTGTTGAGATTTCTGATCCAGGCTACGAAGAATTTCTTAGTCTGGAAAATAGCAAGTGTGCTTGTTTCTATAGGATCTGCTCCTAACCTAGCATTGCAAACCACAATGAAGAACCAAGACAAAAAGAATGGGGCTGCCAAGCAATCGGGCAACACTTCCAACCCAAAAAGCACCCCAGGGCAACCGGAAGCAGGACCGGAGGGAGCCCAGGGGAGGCCCAGCCAGTCGGCTCCTGCGACAGAAGCTGAAAGTTCCACCAGCCAGGCTCCAGGGAAGACTGAGGGTGTGTGCCAGCTCTGCTTTTCCAGCGGGCAGGGGGAGGAGTTTGTGATTCGCCAGTCTAGCTTCTGGATTAGAGGGCAGGGCCACTGTTTACCCAGGAAGGAGGAAATGTAGAATGAGAAGAGGACATTGCTGAGTCTGTGCGGTCCCCACTGTTTCCTGGGGAGTGGGTAGAGCCCCCACCCTAAGCACAGGAACAGAACTCTCTTGAGAGAAGGCTCTGACAGGATTAAATCAGGGAGCAGTCAGATGAGACACCTAGCCAGCAAATCCAGGTTAGAAACACCTTATTCACAAGTGGGTAACTGCTCTTCATATTTGAGGCATTTCTGGAACTTTTTTAATGGTAAGAAATGAGTTTTGCAGGGAGGAGAAGGGGAGGGACTAGACGTTGAACTGCTACATGCCATCCCTATGTTGGATGCTTACTTGATTTCTTTTATACTCAAACACAATCGGGCAGCAGTGAGAAATAATTATATCATTTTATAGGTAAATAAACTGAGGCTTAAAGATGTTAGGCAACATCTCACCCAAACTAGTAAGTTTGGACCTGAAAAACGCCAACCATTGGTATAACCATCTTATTTCTCACTCTGCTCCTCCTCCTCTCCTGGTGTAGGAGCACAAGCCAAAACTGCTCAGTCCGGGGCCCTCCGTGATGTGTCTGAGGAGCTGAGCCGCCAGTTGGAAGACATCCTGAGTACCTACTGTGTGGACAACAATCAGGGGGGCCCAGGTGAGGACGGGGCACAAGGTGAGCCTGCTGAGCCTGAAGATGCAGAGAAGTCCCGGACCTATGCTTCGAGGAATGGGGAGCCTGAGCCAGAGACCCCAGTAGTCAATGGTGAGAAGGAAACCTCCAAGGGGGAGCCAGGCACAGATGAGATCCGGGCAAGTGACGAGGTCGGAGACCGAGACCACCGAAGGCCACAAGAGAAGAAGAAAGCCAAGGGTCTGGGTGAGCAGAGGGCAGCTGCTTGTGAGGGTGCTGAGGGGGAGAAGTTTGGACCTGACATTCCTTGGGCTAGCCTGCTCTGCCAGGATTCAGAGGAAATCCTGCTTCCCAGAGCAGAGAGTCCCGCTAGTTTAATCAAAGCCAGTGCTTTGGGGCCATTGCATAGAAGTGTGCAGGTTGTTCACTGCACAAGGGCTTCTGGCCTTGGGAGCAAGTAGGAACTGAAATCCAACTTACGCTCTCTGAGAAAGTGGAGAGCAGGAGACCTGAGTGGGCTCCTGTGTCAGCCAGCACCATTTCTTTTTTTTTTTTTTTTTAAAGATTTTATTTATTTATTTTTCCCCCAAAGCCCCAGTACATAGTTGTCTGTCATAGCTGCACATCCTTCTAGTTGCTGTATGTGGGATGCGGCCTCAGCATGGCTGGAGGAGTGGTGCCTCGGTGCGCACCCGGGATCCGAACCCGGGCCGCCGGCAGCGGAGAGCACGCACTTAACCGCTAAGCCACGGGGCCGGCCCCAGCCAGCACCATTTCTAACCTGCTCTGTGACCTTGGGCAAGACCTTTCTCCTCTCTAGTCCTTAATGTTTGTTTCTCTACAGTAAGAGAATTGGCCTAGACCAGGGTTGAAAACTCAAATGAGCCAAGCTAGCTGGGGGGCCCCATGAGGACCAAGAGAGTACCTACTTCATCCAAAGGGTTGACTGCCGCCTGGTCCCAGAATGTTGCATGTAAAACCACAGGCTAAGTGTAGCCAGCTTTTCCTTTTTGTTTTTTTTTTGTTTTTTTTTTAAGAAAAGCCATGGGCCGGCCTCGTGGCTTAGCGGTTAAGTGCGCGCGCTCTGCTGCTGGCGGCCCGGGTTCAGATCCCGGGCGCACACCGACGTACCGCTTCTCCGGCCATGCTGAGGCTGCGTCCCACATACAGCAACTAGAAGGATGTGCAGCTATGACATACAACTATCTACTGGGGCTTTGGGGGAGAAAATAAATAAATAAAATTAAAAAAAAAAAAAAAAGCCAGAAATCTAGGGTTACATGAAATCTCCAGAATTCTAACATTTGGCAACTCATATGCTGGGAGCCAAACAAAACCCATCTGTGGGTTGGATTTGGCTTGTGTGCCAGCGATTTCCAGTCTCCACCCTGATCTCGGAGCCTCCCAGGGTTGACCCTTCAGGAGCCTCGGGCTGTACTCTGTACGGCGGCCCTCTGGGTGACAGTGGGAAAATTGGACTCGGGCTACTGTATGTTAAAGAATCAAAGTTAGGTGATATTATGCCCATGTCTTAGTTCCTACTCTCCCACGTCTACCTGCCATTCTAATTTAAAGAGGGTGGTTTTTGTTGTTGTTTTTTCACCTTAGCATCAAATATTGGAAGGTATACTCATGTTAAAGTTCACTGTTTGGCTGCCTGTGTTGACGAGTCTAGTAGTTCTCAAGGAGACCTGTTCGTTTTTGCATCCTTCCTCTTTCAGAAGGACCTTCCTTATATTGAAACAGTAGCCCTGCATTCACTGGTGGGACACCTTTCTTACATCTGTTGGTAGAGCAGGCAGTTTTTTTTCTTCCAGTCCTGGTGCTCACCAAGGAGATTCCACAGAGATTCAGTCGTTCATTTCATAAGCATTTGCTGAGCCTGTCCTCTGGGGTGGGCGCTAGAGGCAGTACTGGGGCTATAGTAACGGGCAGAAATGAGTAGGTCCCAGCCCTCATGGAGCACACAGTCTAGCAGCAAAGGCAGCCAGTTCAACAAACAGAAATATCAAGTATGATAAGGGAGGGCTGCCTCGGGTGGAAGATGGTGGGCCCAGGCCTGGAGGGGACCTCCAGAGAAGGAGGTACATGCCTTTGCTCCCTGTGCTTTGCAGGGAAGGAGATCACGTTGCTGATGCAGACGTTGAACACGCTGAGTACCCCAGAGGAGAAGCTGGCAGCTCTGTGCAAGAAGTATGCTGAACTGGTCAGTTCTCCCCCTTCTCCTCGCACCTTCCCTGCCTCAGAAAGTCAGCAGGCCACCTGGTGTGGGGTTTGGGGTGCAGGGGCAGGTGGGTGGCTTAATTCCTGTCCAACTTCTCTCAGAGCCTTTTGCGTGTCTGTTAAGTGGGGAGTCAGGTCCCAACCAGCCTCTTCAGGTAAGATGTAGAGTAAGAGGAGAGGCTTCATGTTCCAGTGGTGGATCCCGAGCTCCTGGCCCGAGTCCCGGGTACCATCTTGTCTCGCCCGTGTGCTTCAGTATGCGTCCTCCCAAAATATGAAAGCGCACGGTGCCATCATCACACTTCACAGAAGGAACACTAATCACTTGATAGTCTGTAATACCCAGTCTGCAGTCAGATTTCCCGCATTGTTTAAAAATGTCAGTTTGGTCAAATCAGAGTCCAAATGAGGTCCATTTATTATATTGGGTTGTTACGACTTTTTTTTCCTTTTACTTCAAAACAGTCTTCCTCTTCCTGCCCCTCTTTTTCCTATGACAGTGACTTATTGCAAATCAGTTGTCCTGTAGGATGCCCCACTTTGTAGCTTTCTGGTGGCATTTAAGTTGCTCCTTTATCTCCTGAGTTCCTGTAAATAAAGTGGAACTTAGCTCTAGAAGCTTGATCCAATTCAGGTTCAACTTCTCTAACAGGAATTTTTCATAGGTGGGTACTCGGAACTTCGTGTTGCCTCACAGGAGAAACCAAGTGTGGGCATCTTACTTTTAGTGACGGAAGATTGTTCAGTGGGTTCTGATGGGCCAGCCAGGGCCCTCCTTTGTCAGGTTCCCCATCAGAATGTGAATTAACAGATTCATCCACTGAAGATCATTGCTTAAGGACTTTTTTTTTGTGAGGAAGATCAGCCCTGAGCTAACATCCATGCCAGTCCTCCTCTTTTTGCTGAGGAAGGCTGGCCCTGAGCTAACATCCATGCCTATTTTCCTCCACTTTATGTGGGATGCCGCCACAGCGTGGCCTGACAAGCGATGTGTCGGTGCGCACCCCAGATCCGAAGCCAGGCCACCAGCAGCGCAGCGCATGCAGTTAACCGCTATGCCACGGGGCCAGCCCCTAAGGACTTCTTTTTAAATTCTTTCATTCCATTCACACTTATTAGCTGGAATTCTCCTATAAGGAACTTTTCTCATCTGTAAAATGGGGGAAGTCATACCTGTCTAATGGGCTTATTATAATGATTAAATAAAGGAAAGGATATGAAAAAGATACCTCCCTTTCAAAATGATCTAGCCAGGGAAAGATTGATGATGGAAGAGAGGAGGAAGTGAGTTGCTAGAGTGATGTTCAAGAGGAATGAGAGGAGGTGAGGTCCGGGGTGCAAAGAGAGGGGTCCTCGTGGCTGGAGGAGAGGACAGGTGCAGAGGGCCCAGCAGGTATGGAGCTTGTGCCCCTGCTCCTCTGGTTGCTCCTTTGTTCTCAGGGAGATGGGGATGATAGTTTTAGCTGGGGCGGAGGAGATTTGAAAAGGAGGATGAAAGAGTTGTCTGGAAGAGGGGCGTGAATAACATGAGAAATGTAGGAGGACCACTAGGCAGCCCAGGGTCTTCCTGGAAGTGGTGGTCATGAATGTAAAGTGAGATTCTTCAAGCGGGGCTGCTTCAGTGCCAGTGCAGAGTAAGCAGGAGGTTATGTGCCAGGGTTGGGATTTTGCTAGGAAAAGGGGGAAGAGAGTTGAGAGTGTAAGAAATGTAAGCCAGGTAAGAAGGTTAGTGATTATTTAAAGGAGGTTTGAAAGAAAGTGAAAGGATGATTGAGTCAATGGATTGGAGATCAAGTAGGGTAAGAGGCTCTGGGACCACAGATTAGAGAGAATGAGCTAGAATGATAGGTGATGGTGGTCCTGGCCTGGGATGAGATAATGGAGGTGAGTGCAGTTCCAGGTAATGACAAAGTCTAGGCCTGCGCTGTCCAGGACAGTAGCCACTAGCTGATTGAAATGTGGCTAGTCTGAATTTGGATGTGCTCTATGTGTAAGATACACATCGGATTTCAAAGACCTAAGGAAAAAAGGAACAATGTAAAATATCTCAAATTTTTTATGTTGATTCCAGGTTGAAATTATAATATTTGGGTATTGGATTAAGTAAATATACTCTTAAAGCTAATTTCACCTATTTCTTTTTACTTTGCTAATGTGGCCACTAGAAAATTTATCATTACATAATTGTCTCATATTTGAGTATTGAGTAGGCCCATGGGAGGAGAGGACAGGGTCCAAGGAGATTAAGAACTGTGAAGCCAGGGAGTCAGAAGGATTGTCTGTTGATGATAAAAATGCCAAGATGATAATAGGAGTCATGTGAAGAGAGAAATGATGAGCCAGTGCTCAAGTGTTAGAGCAGTGAGAGGGAGGGATGGGGGTCTGTTGATGAGTACCAGGTGGGGTAGCAGGTGGTCTCATCTGAGGGCACAAGGTCCCGAGAGTTGGGGGAGTGTAATGGCCTAGATACTGGAGAGCTGTATCTCTGGAGTCAGGGCTGGGAAAGAAACTGGGATCTGCTGGCTGTGCACCTCTGCTTGTCCTGTCTGACGGTCCATTTCTGTAGCCTTGAGATGGGGCCCTTGGGGTTATCGTGAGGAGTAAATGGGAGGAGGGTGTGAAGCACCCGCATAGTGTCCGGCCTGAGGTGTTATGGCTTGAGTTGGGGGAGAGGGCCAGGTTGGATCAGCTCAGAAGACCCTGGATCCCCGTGGGGAGAGCCCCACAGGGCGCTGACCCGCCCTCGCCATCCCCAGCTGGAGGAGCACCGGAACTCCCAGAAGCAGATGAAGCTCCTGCAGAAGAAGCAGAGCCAGCTGGTTCAGGAGAAGGACCACCTGCGTGGCGAGCATAGCAAGGCCGTCCTGGCCCGCAGCAAGCTCGAGAGCCTGTGCCGCGAGCTGCAGCGCCACAACCGCTCCCTCAAGGTAGGCCGGCCGGCCCCTGGGAGGGACGACTGGTTCCCTTTGACTTCTACTTGCTTTTGCTGGGTTCTCCCCTTAAAAAGTAGCACAGGCTTTTGGTATAGAAATAGATTTCCCCAGTAGTGCCCTACCTTAGAGAGAGCTACTGGCACCCACTTGACACGTGCTACTTGCATCAGTAACGTAAAGACTCAGGCGCTAAGGAGAACCCACGATGCAGGGCTTCAGAGTTCTCAGTTCAGCAGCAGCCCCCAGATGAGCCAGCATCCAGCGCCAACCAGCAGCTCTTCTCCCAGAGTTGGTCTGTCGAGGTCCTTTCCCTAAGTTCTGCATCTCCAAGGTGGGGGGCGGGGGGGCTCAGTCTGGTTAAAGCCTGGTCACTGCTGTGGCCTCCAGATGGTTTTTGTATGTGGATCCTTTATATATTTCTTAAAAAGTTTAGATCAGTGAATATATGGTATTGCTTATTTTTAGTTTGTCTCTGAAAATATTACAAATTTAATACAAATTTGATGTAAGGGATTCAAAGGTGACAAAGTCTAACAAAGATAATAGTTGCCCCCCCCTTCAACCTTAGTGCTCAGCAGAACCACGGGGGTAAACCTCCTTATATGAAAGTTTAAGTACAGCCTTCTAACTTTCCTGTCTATGTGTAAAATCTTACCTACAGTTTTTTAAATGAAATTGTTATACATGTATTGTTTCATATCCTATCCCATTTTCTCACTTTATACAATGCCTTCTCTCTCTCTGTCGGTTTATATAGGGCTGTCTCATTCTTTTTAACAGCATTGTTATCTGGATATGCTGTATTTTATCAGTGCCCTAGTTAAGGTATTTTTGGCTTGTTTTTAATTTTTCACTATTACATGCAGAGAGCTACAGTGAAAATTCTTGTTATATATATATCCCTGGCTAATTATATAGAATTTATCCATAGGATAAATCTCAGAAGTGAAATGGCTGGGTCAAAAAGTATGCAAATTTTAAAATTTGATAGATTTTGCCAGATTGCAAAATGAGAAGCAGTAAACCCTCCCACCAACAGTGTCTAAGTCCCTAATTCTGCACAAGTTTGCCAACCCTGGATATTAATGAATCTTGACTACTTGGTGTTGGGGGAACGGGGGAGCACAGGAATGAGAGCACATTAAAACAAGGCTACTTAGTCTGAAATCTGGAAGAACAGGCTTCAGGAGATCCAGATTTCTTTAGAATGGCACTTCCATGTATGCCTGCATATCTCTAGAAAGAGAACCTCTTGCTTGATATCATCTGATATATAAAGAAGTCCATTAGGAGCCCCCCCATTGCACAGTGTCTTGGAGCCTGGCTCCTCCTCCTGTTGAGAGCAGGGAAGGTTATTGATAGAGACCCTCCCTGGACTAGCTGGGGGAGCCTGGCAAGGCTGGCCAGGGAGCAGTGGATGATGGAGCTAGGGCTGACTTCTCTGCCCAGGAAGAAGGCGTGCAGCGGGCCCGGGAGGAGGAGGAGAAACGCAAGGAGGTGACCTCGCACTTCCAGGTGACGCTGAATGACATTCAGCTGCAGATGGAACAGCACAATGAGCGTAATTCCAAGCTGCGCCAGGAGAACATGGAGCTGGCTGAGAGGCTCAAGAAGCTGATTGAGCAGTATGAACTGCGAGAGGAGGTAGGGTGTCAGCAACAGCCTCCCCAGTCATAGCCGGGGGATTGTGAGGTTCTGGGTGTGCTAGATGCCGGGACGGCACTTTTCAGGCTTCATCCCATTCTCCCATTCTTCTTCCTCCTTCCTTGGGAGGGGGGTCATGTTGTGCATCCTCATATAGACGAGGAACTGAGGTGAGGAGAGGAGACTTGCCTGCAGCTGTACAACCACAGGTCCACAGTGCCCTGTCCTAAGTGGTAGGGCCAGGCATCTTTAGAACTATCCAGGTTTTAGAATGGAGATATGTACATGTACTATGTATTACAACCCCCAGCAGGGCCTTATGGCAGCACTTCCAAATCAGACACATTGGTACTGATGCAGTTAAACTTCTGAATACTCACCTAGATTATAAAAAGCCTTACAATGGTACAGTTCAGGTTTGTCTCCTAGCTTATGACGTTTTCAGAGTTTTTTAGAATTGGGAATCTCAGGGGAGGAGCTGGACCTGTGGTCAGTGATGGACTCCAGGCTCTGTGTCCTCTGATTCCTTGCTGCTCTGCTGCCCATGCCACCTGAAAGGGCAGGATGTCACTGCTCAGCTGGCATTGGCTGCTACCCCTGGTACTTGAATCCCTCTCTGAGTCCCCTCATGCCAGTCACTTGGCTTTTCTAGGCCTCTGTTTCCTCGTGAAAAGGCAGACTGGCATCCACCTGATAGGGCAGGGCCAGGCCCCTTCCTAGGCCCTGGGGGTGTGGTGGTGGGTGGGATGCGTGAGATGTGGCGATCATGGGTGTGCAGGGCCTAGAGGGGCCTCCCCTGACTCCCCCCTTCTTTTCCTGTACTTCGTCCTCTGAGAACACAGCTGTGAGTGATTTATTTGGTTTGAGAGGAGTTGGTTTGCTTCTTGTCCCTCAGCACTGAGAGACATGGAAACTTCCTGAGCCACCACAGAGTGAGGCGCCTACTTCAAGATGCTGAGGACTCTCTTTTTCCTTCCCCCTCCTTCCCCCCGAGATATTGAAAAGACCGGGGGGGTTGGGGTGCAGGTCTACCAGGTCCTGCTGCTCCTCAGTGTCACCCTATCCCTAGTCAGATTCAGGCACTCCCATCCTGCCCCCTCTGAGCCTCTGGACCCTAGATCACAGGCGACTGCAATTCATCATGTCCCATGCTGGGCCTGTCCGCAAGCCCCCTTCCCTTCCACATCCAAAAAATACATAAAATTGTTCGCATCCCTTGTTGCAGTTGATGTTCCTTTGAAGTAGCGCTTGAGTCCGTCCCCTTCTCTCCGTCCCTGCTCTCTCGGCTGGTCCGGGCTCCTGGGGCTCCTCCCGCGGTTAGGACAGCCGTTCCTCGGGGTGCACGCGTCCCATCCTCGCCTGTAGTTAGGGCAGATCTCTGCCAGCCCTGCAAAGCTGTTGTCTTGGTAGAGGCGTCATTTTTGCCCTTCCTTTCCATTCACAAGGGAGTCGGGGGCTGCAGAAGTGAGGGTTGTCAGCCCAGTGGAGTGTTCTCTTGGGCCTGAAGGTTTGAGTGTATTCGTTACTTGGCTTCCTGGGAGCTTGTTTCATTCATAAACCCCTGTGCTCACCCAGGACTGACACTGTGAGAGAGAAACACGGTCAGGTCAGGAAGTAGACCTTTCAGGGACTTGGGGTCCATGTGGGACCCCAGCATGTCAGACTGAGATGGGAGGCTGGGTAGGGGGCCCTGGTCTCTACAGGTAGGCCATCCCTGCAGCCACCGGCCCTCCCTGAGAAAGGGAGCTCCTGACAGGTGGCCCCCTCCCACTGTGCTTTCCCGCAGCATATCGACAAAGTCTTCAAACACAAGGACCTGCAGCAGCAGCTGGTGGATGCGAAGCTCCAGCAGGCCCAGGAGATGCTGAAGGAGGCAGAGGAGAGGCACCAGCGGGAGAAGGATTTTGTGAGGCTCAAGCCCCGGGGGTGGGGGGTCTGGCCCAGCTCGTAGTCAGGTTTGTCTGGGAGAGGTTGCTGCCTGGCCAGATCAGGACAGTGCCTCCTCAGACACCATTCTGAGAGCAGGAAGCCTCAGTGGGTTCTGGTGCATACGGCTAAAAAAAGCCAAACACAGCCCCTGGGAGCTTCTGATGGGGTCTGGGGTCCTGTCTTGGAAATAGCTCCTCAAAGAGGCAGTGGAGTCCCAGAGGATGTGCGAGCTGATGAAGCAGCAGGAGACCCACCTGAAGCAGCAGGTAAGACAGTGTGTATCCTGACCCTGTTTCTCCAAGGTCCCCTCGCTGGGCCCCATCCCAGGGGGAGGGAAATGTGACCCTCATTCTAGGACCACCTTGACTGTTGGTGACCTTGCTGAGCCTTTGTTCTCTCTGGACCCACCCAGCACCTGTGTGGTGGTGACCAGGTGGCTAGGTGAGCTCGAAGGACTTCGTTCCTAGGTGGAAGTGTTGTGCTGCTTTTGAGGAGGTGAGGATAGAACAGCTGTTGTTTTTTTGTGTGTGTGAGGAAGATCAGCCCTGAGCTAACATCCATACCAATCCTCTTTTTGCTGAGGAAAACTGGCCCTGGGCTAACATCTGTGCCCATCTTCCTCCACTTTATATGGGACACCACCACAGCATGGCCTGACAAGCGGTACATCCATGCGCGCCCAGGATCCGAACCCAGGCCGCCAGCAGCAGAGCGTGCGCACTTAACTGCTACGCCATGGGGCCGGCCTGAACAGTTGTATTTAATTATGTAAATTATACTTAATTCTGGAAGAAAAGTTTGAAAACAAACATAAAGACAAAATATAAGTCATCCTAAATCCTACTCTCCAGGCTTAACATTGTGGATTATATCCTTCCAAATACGTAGTTTTGTTTCGTTTTTCTATTTTTAATGGTATCTCAATAGAAATTTTGGGCCAGAGGGCCAAGGATGGGTCTGAGTGTGTTGACCAGAAGTGCCATCCAGAGAAGCCCAGTCTTACCTGTGGGCTTCTTTCTTACTCAGCTTGCCCTATACACAGAGAAGTTTGAGGAATTCCAGAACACTCTTTCCAAAAGCAGTGAGGTGTTTACCACATTCAAACAGGAGATGGAAAAGGTAACGGTGATCCAGGCTGGGTGAGGCTGCGGGGGCACAAGCTGCTCCATTCAGAATTCAGCACTGGGCCTGCCCTCGGGAAGTCCCCATCCCTGGGCTGCCTCATGGGGAGCTGTTTACAGTAACAGTGTGGTTGATACCAAGGGTGGGGCTGTAGAAGGGATCACAGCCCTTCCACCTTCTCAAGGAACTGTCAGTGGATTGGGCATCTCCAACTTGTCCTGGAGAAGGGGCATTCTTGTCATTTCCTCTTCTTGGGGGCGGGCATTTAACTTGAGACATCCTGACGTGGCACAGAAGGCACTAACTGTGCCCTATAATACCTTGCTCCCTTGGGACCATTCCTTAAGTTGGAGACACGGATGCACAGACAGCCTGGCCCCCTGACCATTTCCTTCTGTCTGTCACATAACCCAGATGACTAAGAAGATCAAGAAGCTGGAGAAAGAAACCACTATGTACCGGTCCCGGTGGGAGAGCAGCAACAAGGCCCTGCTTGAGATGGCTGAGGAGGTGGGCTGAGTGGGGTCTGCATGGGGTGCAGTTATGAGCACTGGGCCCTTTCCTAGACGTTCTACCAGTAAGTAATGTAGCGAGCATGAGGGGAGCTGGGATTCACGTGCACATCTGTCCAAGTCCAAAGGCACCGCCAGCTCTCTCCCCATGGGAGGTGGGGAGCCCAGTGATAGGTCTGCAGTGGAAGCAAACAGAGAAAATGGAAGAAGGGAATAAAGGAGCAGAAAAACCAAGGGTTGCCAATGATGCACGTAGTTTGTATGCAGAGCGGCCCAGATAATTTGACTTCCTGGCTTGAGATATAGGAGAAGAAAGTAACACTGCTGGAGTAGCCGCTGCATGCCAGATCCCGCTGAGTGTTTTAGATAAGCCAGTTCATTGAACCTTCTCTTGAGATCTGAGAGGTTGATGTTAATAGTCCAGCTTAACAGATAAGGAGATAGGCTCAAAAGCCAAGTACTTTGCCAAGGTCATCTGGTGGATAAATGGACGAATACGTTTTCTCCAAGCCATGCCTCTTCTCTGTACCACACTGTCCCCAAGTGACAGCTAAGTCTTGGTATAAACCAGAGCTGTTTACTAGAAAAGGGCCAGCTTTTGACTCTGGTCTGCTCCAAGTGCTGTTCAAGTATGAATGTTTTCTACCAAGTGGCCTTGTTGGCTGGGGGGTTGACAGCTTGGCACTGAAGGCCCCATTTCTCTCCCTAGAAAACACTCCGGGACAAAGAGCTGGAGGGCCTGCAGGTGAAAATCCAGCGGCTGGAGAAGCTGTGCCGGGCACTGCAGACAGAGCGCAATGACCTGAACAAGAGGGTACAGGACCTGAGTGCTGGCGGCCCAGGCTCCCTCACTGACAGCGGCCCTGAGCAAAGGCCAGAGGCTGCCGCTGCCTCCAAGGAGCTGGCTGGCGAGGGGCCTAGGGCCCAAGCACCCAGCTCCCCAAGGGCCACAGAAGCTCCTTGCTGTCCTGGAGCACCGAGCACAGAAGTATCAGGCCACACAGGGCCCCAGGAGCCCACCTCCGCCACAGCCTAGGGAGCCTGGTGCTAGGGGCCTGCTGGGAAGGGAGCAAGCAGCCCAGCCAGGCCTGGCCCGTGCAAGGCTCCCACCACTAAACCAGTCCAGTGCTGAGGCCCAGGGTGCTCTGACCTGGCTGGCATCTGACACTGCAGTTTTGTGGGTCAGTCTTACATACATATGGCATATGTGCAAAGGCTCATACATTTATATCTCTAAGTGTAAAATGGGCTTGCACTGGAGGTAGAGGTGTGTACAGATGAAGTCTGGCTCTTCTGTGAGCTGAAGAACCTTAAAGAGGAGCTGTCATCTGTAGCTGCTATCGCAGTGAGCTGGCAGAACAAGTGACTTGAGCATTTCCCTGCCTGATTCGAGGCTCAGGCCCCTCCTGCCCTGCCCTTCAGGACTCATGACAAGTGACACACCAGGCCTTGACTGTGTTTCTCTTGTTTGTGGGGCTGGGGCAGTGCTGGCTCTCCTAGCTCCCCTGGAAGCTTCTTTGCTTCTTTTGACCTGGAAAAGGGTTCCCGAGGCAGAGCCTTGGTGGGGCACTCAGAGCTCATGATTGAACTGCTTTCCTGCCTAGAACAAGGGACCTGGAGAATGTTTCTGTGTGGGATGATGCGCTGGTGGGGAGCCCCTCAGGCCCCACTTCCCCTGCCCTCTGGTATTGCCAGGACCAGGCCAGTGATGCTTCTCGGTAGCCTTATCATTCACAGGTGCCTCTCTAGCCTGCACACATGATTGACAAGAGATCACCCAAAAGATTCTTTCTGAAGGGTTGTTTTTTTTTCTTTTTGCACATGACAGTGTATTGGGGGTCTTCTGAGGAAGGATTAGGGGTGCTGTAGCAGTGGTGCCTGGTTCCTGTGCCCCACCACCCTTACCACCCCACCTGGCACCTTTGCCATGTTGGTGCTGAGGTTTCCTGTTTGATAAAATCAGATTGTAGTAAGAAAGGAACAGGCTTCTGATGGCTTTGCCACAAGCTTGCCTATGGATTTCAATCCTGGGAGGCCACCGCTGATTTCCATCACCACTGTCTCCATGCGGCAGTTCTCATGCCCTCTTGGCTTTATGAGTCTATTTCTGCTTCCTGCCCTCACCTTTCCCACCCCCAATGTGCAATGCTGGAGATTTGCCCTGGTTCCGTTGCCCCAGAGCTGAGGTATGTCCTCCTTGACATCCCACTTCTTCCTATGTGGGAGCCCCCACCTGTTACCCGACAGCTAAGGGATAAGAATGAGACTCAACAATTGACTGAGCCCCAGAAATCCGCAGAACGGCTGCAGATATTTATGTCTTTTCTCCAACCACCGCTCCCACCCTGCCCGTACCTTACATGTGCTACTCTATACTCTGAAAGTTCTGGTTGCAAACTTGCCAGGGCATTAGCCAGTCTTTATAGAAAGCAACTTTTGAGTCTTGGATCAGGAGGCCGAGCTCTGTAGGGCTCGTGGTACTGTGTCCCATCTGCAGCTTCAGTGTCGCTGAGGGGGCCACAAACCAAGATGATGATGGTTGAGCTTTTGCTTCTTGCTGTATTTCCTTGAAGTGAGTTCCTTATCCTACGGTCCCTTCATCTTCCACAACCAGCCCACTCTTTCAGCCCTTATTTAATCCCTCAGGTAAATAGGTCCGTGAAGAGTGTTAAGTACTCCTGGATCGTGTTATGATTTAGACCAGAGATGGCAAATAGATGGCACACCATCATCCCTCTGCCCCCATGGTAGGTACACTAACCTGTTTCAGAGTGTTTCCCACTAATCCCCAGGATATCCTCATTTCTCAAGATTCCTCCCGCAGCCAGTGTAAGTGTCGAGGCCTATTTGCCATCCCTGGCTGAGATACTGCTCTCCTGTGGAGAAGTGTTTCCTAAGATCTTTTCCTCCCTTCTGCAGTGCCTGTGTCTGAAATTGTCCCTGAACATGCCTCTTCCAGCTCCAGTAAGGCCTTCTCCCTCCCCCAGCCCCTATGCCAGTCTGATGTACATAAGAGCTGCCAACCCCAAACAGGGTTTGCTGGGCTATGGAAGCACAGGGAAGAGGCAGAAGCTTCTGTCTGCCCCCTCTAAAGAGAGCAGGAAGGCCTGCAGTGGCCCCTGATTGCCTGCCTCACTTCAGCTACCTCTTAAAGCCCATGGGGTGGGAGTGGGGAGCTGTTGGAGCCCAGTGTGGTGCTGAGGAGGTCACAGCTGCACAGCACAGCAGCCCTCTGAGACCACGTCTAGCTACTGTGGAGCTAACAGTAGGCAGGGTGGAACCTTCACTCTCAGCTGCAGCCATCCCTAGACATCCAGGCTAGGCTATAGATGGGGATCCCATTCTTCCTCTTTCTCCTCCATTGACCAAATCTTACCACTCACTACAGCTGCTCTGCTTGCTCTGCTTTCCAAAGTCAGCCCAGGTACCTGGGTGCTGCCCACACCAGCCAGGAGCCTGGGCCAGATGCAGAGGAGGTGGCCTATCGGTGAATGAAGGCCAGTGCTGTCCTTACTGCGGCAGGTCCCATGCACATGACCTCAGTTTTAGGACCAAGAGCTGTGTTGGTGTCTTAGGTTGCTAGCTTTTGCTCCAGAGGACCACAACAGGTGAGGCTCACAGCCCAGAGCCCTTGGCTCTGCTGACAGTAATTTGTCTTCAGGACCTTGTCCAGCTTAGAGCTTTGTGTACACCAGATCGTGAGAGGTGTCAGCAGCACTTTTTGTTTTGTTTTGTTTTCCGTGAGGTTTTTGGACCATGGGCTGAGCTCAGGCACTTTCTGTAAGAGAATGTTATGTCTGCAAAGATGGTTATTTCCTCTTCTCCACCCACGTCATGGTGGCCCTGCTGAGAGCTGACCAAGAGGCCAGGGGAGCTGCCCTGGTGTCTAGTGGGGAGGGCCAAGGCCTGCTGAGCTGATCCTCCAGCTGCTGCTCCAGCCCTCCCACCTTGCACAGCACAGAAGTGGTCACCCCAGGGACAGCCAGGCACCTGCCTGGGGGAGGGGTGCTGCCTTCTGTCCCTATAACTGCTTCCCTTATGGCCCAGCCTGGCCGCCCAGATTTGTTTGAAGCTGTGCTGACAGCTTTTTTTTGTCTCCTTTTGGTATTCACAACAGCCAGGGACTTGATTTTGATGTACTTTAAACCACATTAAATAAAGAGTCTGTTGCCTTAGTTGTTTCTCTCCTGACCTTCGTGGTCATCTGGCGCTTCTGGATCCATGCAGCCCTCACTGGTTTGTCTGGATATGCTGCAAAGCTCTGTGGTCATGCCCTGGTATTCTGCATTTTCCAGAGTGCCCTCCCAATTTCCAGCAGTCCCACAGGCTCAGGACACTAGCAGAGTCACTTCAGCTGCCTGAGCGGAGCCCTTGGCAAAGTTGGCATGATGCTCATATATACATGGGAGTGTCAGAGATGATTTCTTTGAATCAGAAGTTGCCCCTGCCCCCTTAGGGCTCACAGGCTAGTGAGAGAAGAGGTATTTTTACATATAGAAAGGTCAGTGGTGCTATGGAAGCATAGAGGAGGCCCCGTCCCCTTCAGCAAAGGGATACCTGCCAAAGGGCAGGTAGATGTTTGACAACTTCATTTAGTAACGACATGGTTCACCTAGCAATGCAGGTGCACGTGGAGCTGGGAGGAGGCAGTGAGGCAGGGGCCAAACCACCAAGAGCCTGTGCGCCAACTTGAATTTGGGCTAGGTGGGGGGGGAGGGGCACCACTGAAGGTGTTTCAATAGGAAATTGGTAGGGTCCATGAAGAAGGCAAAAGGCAAGGAGAGCAGAGAGCCAGGCGTAGGCCAATTGAGGCCCAAGTCAAGATGGGTGGACACTTGTCACTGCTGTCTGGGGCTGGCTGCCATTGGCAGCATCCTTTGGCACTAGCCCACCCAAGGGAATACACAGGGACCTCAGGTTCTTTTGGTTTTGTGCCCTCTGGCAAGACCACATTCTGCATGCAGTTCTTAAGAATGGGCTGGTTTCTTAACTCCTGCTCAGCCACCCCAAGCACAGGTGCAAAAGTTGAGGCTTCTGTATGGGAGACGTGGTACTGACGGGCTTGCCCAGCACCCTGTTCTCTCTGGGGCCTGGGTTGGTTTGGCACAAAGGATGTTATGTGAATGCCCAACAAATGGCAGAAACAACTAAAGTGCCCTTCCCTCCAGGCTCCAGATGTGTCCACACTGGCTGTGACAGTCCCCACAGAGCCTCTGCCCCTTCTAGTCAGGGTCCTGATGGATAGTTTTTGGTGCTGGCCACAATGGTTCCAGTCAAAGGTCCTTTGCATGGGGTCAGAGGAGGCCGCCCCAACTCTTGGAGCTCCTGAGCAAAGCAGCTCTGAGAATAACCACCCTAAATGTGCTCCTGGACCCACTGCCACTTTCCTGGAGGAGTCCTGATGCCACTCTATCAGCTCTGGTAGGAGGACAGGGACTGCCCAGTTGTCCACTCTGTGCAGACCCCTCCCTTGACCCCTCGTTGTTGAAAAAGTCCTGAATTAATGTCTCCTCTTCTGGAGCAGTCTGGGGTTGGAAATACCTGGGAAAGAGCCCTGCACAGCTGCCTGCGAAAACAGTGCCTTCCCTCCAACATTCAGCCGGAGGCCCAGGCCCAGGCCCAGGCCCAGAGAAGATGCTCCTGCCCAGCGGGAAGGGAAGGTAGGTGAGGTGGCTCTGTGCATTCCCCAAGGCAATTATTTGAGGCTGCAAGGCAGCCTGGCCAAGGATAAGCCTGTCTCCTGTTGCATCAAATGCTTCTCCTGGGTACCTGAGCTGGGCACCTCTGCCAGGTCTTTAAATAGCCGCCCCATTGATCTGGCCTCCTGGGCAGCACCAGCAGTGCTGGGTCAGCCTCCATCAGGTGCTCAGGTTTCCCTCATGGAGGCTGGAGTCAAGCACCAGGTAATCGCACTGGCTTCCTTGTGACCTGATGCTCCTCACATGTGTTTCCTAGGTCAGGGTGGGGAAGGGGTAGGCTTGGTCCCGTCACTTCAGCAGTTCAGAGCACAGCCCCCACAGCTTACCAGGGAAGAGTGTGTGTTGTGGGGGGAGGGTATTGCCCTCAAAAGACTATTGCTGACTTTCAGTAAAACGGACGATGACGGTATCTTCCCCAGGGTTGTTATGAGGATTAAATGTATGTAAAGTGCTTAACAGGGGAGCTGGACTCACTCAGTAGACGGTTGTCTTCTTACAGTTTCTTCCTGCAGCTGCTTGTGCTTATATGCTTGTATATATTCATATTCTCTCTCTCTCTCTTCCCGCCATTCCCCCCTCCCCTTCGTCCCACTCTGACAAAGCCATCACCATTTTGTATGGGACAGTAGCTTCTCTCCTACGTGGGAGAAGCGAAATGGATGGATGGGAAAGAGAAGGGTTTAGATTGCCATCACACAACCAACGTGGTCACCTTAGTTCAGGTTGGGAGGTAAAGACGAGTGAGAGGAACAGCTTAATAAACGTGGGGATGCTCTTCCCATCTTACTCCATCCCAAGCTCTACAGAAGGTCACTTTCTCTTTAAATGCAAATTGCCTCCTGCCCGCTCAGCCTCCGCCCATTCTGTTCCCTAGGAGAGTGCTGAGGGTGGAGGGAAGCCGCACAGAAGCATCTCTCCAGACCCCAAGCTCCAGGTCAGTTGCCCTCTCTGGGGGTGGGGGTGGGGGCAGGATGACGCGGGTTTGACGGTCCATTTCCGATCCTACTCCAGAGCTGAGCAATCCTTTGGGCACACAGCTTTGGAGACTGAGCATGGGAAAGAGATCCCGGTTGTCCTAGCCGTTCCTGGAGAGTAGGAGCTCCTGCTCCAATTCTTCTATCAAGTCCGTAATTGGGCCAAGCTGCCGCAGGGCGAGGCAGATCCACCACACCCCCTCGGTGCCAGCCAGCCATGTGCCAGTTTAAATGCTTGTGCCCCCAGCACCACCACCGTCCCAAAGGGCGGAGTCAGGCTTGGTGGCAGCAGCCTGGAATGAGCAGCTTGGGAAAACCCCGTAAAGGGCCCCCCGACCTCCATGGGGGAGGACCTCAGCAGACCTGAGGCTTAGGGGCCAGGGCTGAACGAGAGTCTGAGCAGTGCCAGCCACAGGCGCAGCCATTGTTGGAGGCCAAGGCAGCCAGCTGCCCGACCACCCACCCCACGCTGGCTGAGCAGAAGCCAAGCAGGGACTTTCTGACTGGGGAGGGTGATGGGGCTAGAAGCATGTCCCAGGGAGCTTCTGGGAGTCGCCTGGTCTTTGCAGTCGGGGGTGGGGTGGAAGAGCGGGGATGCCAGTGTCTTGAGTGGGGACACGCCACACGGAGCCCCGCCCCGCTGCGTGCCATGGCTTCTGCCGCTGTTACCCACTCTCTGGGGATTACTGCTTGACACTGGGGTCTTCCCAGGCACCCCACTCACACCTTGATCACCTCCCGTGCTGACAGAGTTGGTCAGCATCTGCCTAGGCAGTTGATAAATAGAACGAGACCTAGTTAAGACACCCCTAATCCTCAGCTGGGTTCCTGCCAGCTCAAATCCACCCTGTCTCCCCCTGCATTTCCTCTGCCAGCTCCGCCCCCTCAGCCACCGGGACAGGAAACCCCAGCAGCAGCAGAAGTGTCTGGTCCTGCCCTTTCCAGGCAGGGCCTAGGTTCTCAGGCTAAGGCCAGAGGGCGGAAGGGGACCTGGAGTGGGCCATGCAAGGTCCTTCAAATGCACATCCATGACCCCAGCAGTGGGTGCTGGCATCTGGCCCTGCCCATACTGCACAGATGAGCGGACAGAGGCCTTGACAGTTGTGAGGAGACAGTTGGAAGGTCCCAGGGCCCTTCCTTTGCAGCTCTCAGGGGTTACTGGGTGAAGGGATGACTTGCCCCTCACTATCTCAATGGGGCCGCCCCCCTTCCAGGGCCTGAGGCTCAGCCAGCACCCAATGGAGGACAAGAAGAAGAAAAGGAGTCCCAAGCCCTGCCTGACCCAGCCAGCCCAGGCCCCGGGCACACTACGCAGGGTCCCTGTGCCCACCAGCCACAGTGGCTCTTTGGCCCTGGGACTCCCTCATCTGCCATCCCCCAAGCAGCGGGCCAAGTTCAAGAGGTGGGTACAGAAGGAAACAGGGCAAGAAGGGAGGGACCCCAACTCTGGGCTGGGCTCTGTGGGGAGGAGGGCAAGGGGGGCTTTTAGCCTTGTGTTAGTAAACAATAATTGATGCCTTCCCTGGGGCTGCCCCAGCTGGCCCCTAAGACCCAGAGATGCCTCAGACCCTGTCCCTACCCTCAAGTGTGGGGGAAAAGGCCAGGTGGATCACTGGGATCACACAGCATGATGATGAACCTCAAAGCAGGGAGTGAGCAACGCTGCCAGGGAGTGAGTCAGAGAAGGCTGTTGGCACACTGGAGAGAAGAATGTTCTGAGCTGAGGGGATTGCCTGGCATAAACATGGAAGAAAAATATTGCCTGGAAGATTCTAAGAACCACCAGTGGTTTGGTGGCCCTGGAGTGTCACAGGGCAGGAAATGGTGAGGGGATGCTCAGACGTACAATTTGAATTCTCTGCTTAATTTTCTATAATGATTGGGAATTTGCATCCTACCCTATAATGTGTCCGTGTTTGTTTCCCACTAAACACGATGCGCTGTCTCTCCAATTACGTACGATGTTTCCCTGTGGCTTTGCCTGAGAGGCGTGTTTGGGGATGGCCACAGTGGCTGCAGCTGAAGCTCAGGGCTGGGGCAGGAACAGGAAGTGCAACTGGAGAGGCCAAGGGGCCAGGCTGGGAAGGACGTTCAGTGTCATCCTGAGGGCAATGGAAAAGTCAAAACCGTTTTTAAATAGAAAAGGGGCAGAAAGATATTTGGGGGAGGGGTAAGATGGCTCTTGTGGCAATAAGGGAGTAACTGTCCCCAAATTAATTCTCTGAGGACCAGGGAAGACAAGTGATTCACCCAGGGTCACTGGAAGAATGAATGAGGGGCTCAGACAGGAACCCAGGAGCCCCCTTCCAGGCATGGCTCTGGCTGTGAGTGTTTTTGGCAGAAAAAGACTTCTTTTGACTCTTTATCTTCACCTATTTCCCTTCCTTTACCAATCCCGGTAAAAATCCTGGCCCCAGGGTAGAGCCAGGAAAACAAACATCCATTTATCTTGGTGAGTGGATAGGAAGATGAATTAGGCCATAAATAGATGGCACAAAAGACCTGGGGGTAACTGGCTGCCCCCACCCTGTGACCACGGTCATGCGCACCCCATCCAGGGTAGGCAAGGAGAAATGCCGCCCAGTGCTGGCCGGAGGTGGGGGCGGCTCTGCAGGCACCCCCCTGCAGCACTCTTTCCTGACGGAGGTGACCGACGTCTATGAGATGGAGGGGGGACTGCTGAACCTGCTCAATGATTTCCACTCTGGCCGGCTGCAGGCCTTCGGTGAGTCCTGGGGGCTGGGCTTAGAGGGTGTGTGGGTGGGGCTGGGGGTCTCTGGGCGGGGCTGGGGCCAGGGTCCCAAGCTTGCCCCCCAGGGCTCAGACGCATGCTGTCCAGGGAAGGAATGCTCCTTCGAGCAGTTGGAGCATGTGCGGGAGATGCAGGAGAAGCTGGCCCGGCTGCACTTCAGCCTGGACGTGTGTGGGGAGCAGGAGGAGGAGGAGGACGATGAAGACGATGGGGTCACTGAGGGGCTGCCTGAAGAGCAGAAGAAGACGATGGCTGACCGCAACCTGGACCAGCTGCTTAGCAATGTGGGTCGCAAGGCTGGGTGCTTCGGTTCCTGGGGGCCCTCGGAGGCGGGGGAGGGACATGCTCCTAAGACCATTCCTGGCCCTGGGTGAAAAGCTGAGGTGCATGGAGCCAAGAGCTCTAGGCCCCTCAAACCACCCCCCCCACCGAAGATGGCCCCCAGGGCATCTGGGGTATGGCCTGGTGCCCCTGCTGACAGAAACCTCCCTTTCTCTTTCTGTTGACAGCTGGAAGATCTTAGTAATTCTATGTATCCTTTTCAGGGGACCTGACTCTCTGTGTGTGTGTGTGTGTGTGTGTGTGTGTGTGTGTGCGCGCGCGCGCGCGCCTGCCACCCTCCAAAGACAAGATCAGTTTCCTTCTCCCCACCACCCTCCAGGAGTATTCACATATAACCAACATCCCCACCTCTTCCAGTCCTACTGAGTCAGAATTAGCCGCCCACTGCCCTCACCCAGGTAGAGGAGTGCAGAAAGAATTTCCCAAATATTAGGAGAAAGGTGGTTGCAGGGTATATATTTTATCTACTTATCAAAATCTTTGCAAGTCCTTTAGCTGACACCAATCCATGGCAAAGCTTGTCTGCTGTCTTCCTACTTTCAGCATTGAATTGTTTCTACTGATTTACACTATCTCCTCATCTAGTCCTAGTCAGAAATAGTGCGGGTGCTCGCACCTGCATGATCTAGATCAGAAGAGGGGTTGCGGGTAAGCCACCTAGCAAGAAAGGGAGGTGAGGACTGCAACCTCAGACCACGGACCGCCCCAGAGACCCTCACCCCACCCCTTTGTGCAGTTGGGGAAATAGCCTGTGCAGGATGGGAAGACAGGGCTGGAAACAGGAGTCCAAAGCATGACAATCCTTGACTGGCACAGACAGAAGTTGCATCTGGCGGAGAACGCCGAGCCTGAGGAGCAGTCAGCTGTGTAGATGTCTGATCCAGGCCCAGATTGCCCCCTTTTATTCCCTTCAAACTGTGACTTTTTACAGACTCGACTGGGTATTCCGCGGCCCCCCAGGTGCTATGGGGAGGGGGGCACTGGATGGAATTAAACCAGAAAGAAAGAAAGCGGCTCAAAACAATGAAAATAAAAACAAAAAAACGATAAAAAAAAAACGAAAACAGAAAGAAAGCGGCTCCGTGTCTTCCTTCGCCGCGTTGCGCCTTTTCTCGGCAGGGGCGCCCAGGCCCCGTCCTCCGCGGAGACGCCCTCGCGCCGCACTTTTGTTCGGGAGAGCGAGCTCAGGGTGGGGCTGGTCCGCCGTGGGGCTCTGGGAGTGGAGCCGGGGCGGGCGCCAGGCCGCGGCCTGCCGGGGTGCGAGGGAACGGTTGCCGTGGAGACGGGGGGCGGGGCCTGCGCCGGCCCGGAGCGGCGCCGACGAGTGACGCACTGCGCGGGCGCCCGGCAGTTGGTGCCCGGATGGAGCGGGAGCGGTTGCTTCGGAAGGTGTCGGCGATGCAGGTGCGGCCAGGGCGGGGGGTGCACAGGATTCACCCCATGAGATCTGAGACTGGGTCCTTGTAGCGAGATGAGGCTGTCACGTTTAGTCACCTGCCCGTGTGCCCACCCCTGGAGATACCGACCCACCCCCACCGCCCAGAAGAATGCTGGCGCCCACGGACTTCCCCACGCGCCCCGCGCACACTCCTGCGGGATCAGGGAAGGACGGGAAGGGCCTTATAGCGAAGAGAAGGATGCAGTCCAGCATACCTCCTTGAGCCCCCATCCACACCGTCACCTATCCTTTCCCCGCGGCCGGTCCCCTCTTGCAGTCACCGGGATGACCTCTCCACGAGAATCCCCCAAGGTGCCCCCACTTTTGCAGCGATAAGGGTTTTCTTTCCCCTCTTTCTCCACAACAGGCCTGCGTCCGGGGCTTCTTGGTCCGACGCCAGTTCCAGAGTCTGCGAGCTGAGTATGAGGCTATTGTACGAGAGATCGAGGGTGATCTGGGCACGCTTCAGTGGACTGAGGGCTGGATTCCCAGGCCCCAATTTCTCCCAGAGGTAATATACAACCCAAGGGGAGAACGGAGGGGAAGGAGGGTCCTGGGCAGGGGATGCTGACAAGTTTTTCTCGAGGGAATAAGCAGCAGACTCACCTCACACCCCAATCCTTAAGTCTCATCAGTTTGTCTGCTAAATCATGGCGCTCAAATACTTGGAGGGTTTAGCCCTGGGGCTCTCATACCTCTCTGACTGATTTCTCAGAAAGCAAAATCCCATCGGATCTGGAAAGCTGGAGAGAGGATACAAAATCCAGAGCAGGAACAGTGGAGCCGCTTCCCATGTAAAGAGCCTGAGAGAGAGGCCATCTGGGAGGGGATGATGCTGAAGAAGTCAGGAGAGAGCCCAGCAAACTCAAGAAGTCTTCCCTGCAGAGATGACAGCCCCTGGCTCCAGGATGAGCAAAGCAAGAAAACTGCAAAACCCAGCCAAGAGGAGACCAGAGATATATCAAGGATGGAGAACACAGGTACTGCTCTGCCTAGATCAGGGAAGCCCCTGACCCTCTCTGGACCTCAGCTTTCCCATCTGAAAAGTGAAAGGCTTGTGCTAGATAAGCTGCATCCCTTTCCTTCTTCCGTCTGCCTGGTTCAGGGCAACACACGGGTGGGCAGGGGGAGGATGCCAGGGTCTTATGCTAGGCCAGTGCCTACCCCTCAAGGCTTTCTCCCTTCTTTCCTCCCTCCTTCACGGAAGCTGCAGGTCCAGGACTGCCCCACAGCCAGATGGAGTTCCAGGAGCTCCAGTACCAGCGCAGCCACTTGGCCATGGAACTGCTGTGGCTACAACAGGCCATCAATAGCCGTAAGGAGGTAGGCACTAACTTGAAACCTTTTTTGCACATTTAGGGCCAAGGCTGGGGGTTAGGGACAGGCCTCCTGCCATGCCCAAGCAGGCCTGCCTGGTACAGTGTCTGCTCTCTTCCCCAACAGTACCTAATTCTCAAACAAACACTGAGATCCCCAGAGGCGGGCCAGACCGGAGACGAGCCCAGCATGTGCCCAGACCACAGGGGACAGGCCTGTGAGAGGGCCAGGTCACAACCAAGCCCACCACTGGAAGACCAGTCCTACAGAGACAGGACCACTAGAGAGCCAGACCATGTGGATGACTCCTGCAGGAAGGTCAAATCACAACCCCACAAATCCCCAGAAAGACTGGCCACTACACTCAAAACCACTGCTGGGGCCAAGTACAGGGACCAATGCTACAGGAGGGCTGGACCACAGCTGCCCACACCATCAGATAACCAGGCAATAGAGAACAGGCGCAGCAAAGAGCCAGACTGTGGGGAGCAGACCTTTGGAGGGGCCTGCATGCAGCTGACAAAACTCCTGGAGGACCAGACCCCTAAAGGCCTCAAACCTAGCGGCCACTGTTCTGGAAAGGCCAGGACACAGCTGCCTGCACTCCATGAGGACCCAAACATCGAAGACAAGTCTCCCAGAAGGCCAGACCACAAAAAGCCTGATTTCCAAAGAGCTAGACCACGAGAGTTGGGTCTCTCAGAGGACCATGTCATCTGGGATAGGACCTTGACAGGACCAGAGCATGGTGGCCTGGATCTCTGGAGGACTAAACCACCTAAGGGCCAGACACCCAGTGACAAAAGCTCCAGAGATAGAACCTCCAATGAGCTTAGCTATGAAAGATGGAAAAACCAGAGGACTGTACCATGGAGATCAAGGCCACCTGAGAAACTGTCTTCCAGAGGGTCAAACCAAACAGGAGAGGACCACTGGAGGGGCAGACTGTGGAAAACAGGACCAGCAGGCTAGACCCTGGGGAGCCAGGGGTGGACCAGGTTCCGAAAGGGGTACCATGAAAGAGCAAGGAGGGAGACGGGACCTCGTCCTAGCTCCCTGGTACCAGCTCTACCTCCTGCCCCTGTCCCTGGCCACTGGTAGCTAATGGGGCCAAGACAAGCTGAGCCAAGAGCTGGTACCAGTATAGGGAGTGGAGGGAGAAGGACGCTCATCCTCTGCCTGTGGATCAATCCAGATTTTGGGACAGGGAGTTACCTGGGGTAAGTAAAGTGGGGGGCCTGATGGAGAATAAAGGTTTTTGTTGGATTCTGAGCCTGGTTGCTTTCATCTTCTGCCTCTGGTCAGGACAGACTCTGGGCCTTCCTGTTAGCTTCCTACTGGCCTGGACATCTTCCCCAGAGCTGGCTGGGAGTCACAGCCCGGGAGCAGACTAGCCATCCTTGGAGAACAGCCCCCTAAGTTGATCCTCCTTTGGGCCCAGCCCTTGGACTGCGGAGTGGCAGGAAGGTTCTGAGAATCCCTCTCTCCGCCCAGTATTGGAACATCTGTGTTTCAGTGTGATCTCTGTCACTTCCTCTCTCACTGAGCCCCAGGGTCTTCCTTCGTGTATAGTGACCATAACCACCCTGCTCTCATGAGGCCCCACCAGGAGCAGATGGGATGAGACCCTGAATACAGATAGATGCTCCTGCCAGAGGCTCTCCCTGCCTTCTAGGTGAGAGGGCAGGACACCACTTCTGACTGGCACTGCTCCCAGCCCTGCCTTAGTTGCTTAGCAACAGTTCTGCGTCTCTAGCTGAGGACACACTATGGCGTCTGGCAGTCCAGCGGCCAAGAGAGTAGTGGTGTACCGAAATGGGGACCCCTTCTCCCCAGGCCGCCAGCTGCTGGTGACTCAACGCCGCTTCCCCACCCTGGAGACCTTCCTCTGTGAGGTGACATCAGCTGTGCAGGCCCCACTGGCTGTGCGTGCCCTCTACACACCTTGTCATGGCCACCCTGTCACTGACCTGGCAGACCTGCAGAACGGAGGGCAGTATGTGGCTGCTGGCTTCGAACGATTCCGCAAGCTCCAGTGAGTGGGCTGGGGCTGGTCAAAGAGCCTAGGGAGGGAATAGTAATAGCACATGTTCGGTACTTATGTGTTCGCACGGGCACTTTATACGTTATCTCATGGGGTACAGCAACCCTATGGAGAGGGTGGTTTTACCCCCATTCTTTAGAAGGGGAAATCAAGATGGTGACGTTAAGTAACCACTTAAGAGTACCCAAGTAACAGAGTGGAGCCACTGTTCAAGTCGAAGTCTGACCCTGGTGTTTATGTCCATCACAGGCAGGATAGCCCTTGGGAAGGAGGACATTGTCCCGCAGGTTGGGCCCCTTTTTCCAAAGGCTCTTGATTGGATCCCCTACCACCACGACCACCACCACCAAACACGAAATCCACCCGTCACTTTCTCCCTGCTGTGTTTAGATGTCCGTGCTCTTCATTAGGCCGGGGTCATCCGCCTTTGCAGGGTGGGGCTTGCCTTCCAAGATGGAAGAAGAAGAATTTGAGTATCTGAGCTTCCAGCTCAGATCTGGCTTCCAGGTCCTACTCTGCTCTCAGCTGAGGTTGCTTACTGTAACATAAGGAGCAAGGGTTTGGGAGTGAGACAGACTTAGAATCCGGGCTCTGTCACTTATTTCTGTGTTACTTTAAGTGAGTCACTTAACTTTCTCTCAATCTCACACGCAATTAGATAAAACCACCTACCTCATGAATAAGAAACTTCCTGGGATACAGCAGGATGCTTAATGAACTGGTTTCTGTTGACCTTTAATCTTAACGGTTTGTATCTGAGACTCCAGTCTGAATGTTCAGCCTGACAGGGCCCTAAGGCAGGTTCAAGTGCCAGCATCTGTTTCTAGACTGAGATGACTGAGACTATTCCACTGGAAGGGATACCTGGTGGGCTGAGCTCCAGCCCCACACTCTGGCAGCTACTGGGCTGTTGAGGCTCCAGGCTCCCCAAGATGACCTGTGACCTATCTGTCCTTTCAGCTATTTACCCCTTGGAGGGAAGGATCCAGGCGGGAAGAGCGGCAGACTACCAGTGAGTCCTGGGGTCTGGGGGTGGCTGGCCCTCAGCCCTGTCTTCCCACCCCTCCTGGGGTTGCCCCCAATTTGGTCTGGGAAGTCAGGATCCCTGGGAACAGCAGGGTCTGCCAGTTCTATGGGGCATCCTCCACACCCACGCTGGAGCCAGCTGCTATCCTCCCTGGGGTGCAGGATTTCAAGACACTATCCCTTGCTCC